TGGAGGTTTCGGCGGAGGATACGGTGGGGGACTCGGCGGCGGATCGGGAGGCGCGGGAGGAGGACTAGGAGGTGCAGGAGGATACGGAGGCGGCTACGGGGGTGCCTACGCCGCTGCTGCGACTAGTAACTCGGCGGCTGCCACGAAAAACGACGCGAAAAGTGAGGCCGTCACCGCGACCTCGAGCGGAGTGAGCCAGGGTGAGGCTCCCAAGAAGAAGAAAGCCTGATTTGAGTCGACTTGAAAGTTCCTACGCTGAGTCCTCGATGCTCTGCAACTGTAAAAAAAAACATAGTATACATCTCTCTGTGAATTTTTCCGCTCAAAGCACCGTGTAGGCAGAGACACCTGTAAAGCAACAATGATGTGTGATATTATATGGATGAGGAATAAATCGTGAGTTCCATCCGGAAAGTTCGGGCCGTCCATCCTTTTTTGGAGGCCTTCGAGGCGCGGCGCTCTCTTGAGATGTGGAGTCATCCCTATTTTCCGACCGTGAAAACCCATTGGTAGGCTGCTGATTGTGAGATTATTCACGCTCTCTTGGATGCCCTCGAGCTGCTTACATCCTAGGCGATCCACGGGGCAAGGACGCCAGTAGACCTATGGGGCTGTCGGGGAGCGTATAGTCTCCGCGCGGGGAATCACTGCCTGACTTCCGAGGGCTCTTTACTCCTATCAGGCTCGTTGTATGGATATCGCTGTCCGAGATTATACCGATTGGGGTTCACTAGTTCGCGTCGCCAGGAGAGAGCTGTATCTCCGTATCGCTTCGGAACTCGAGAAAACCTATCATCTTTCGGAATGTGCTTCACTATAATCGGTATCGCAGTCGGCACATCGAGCGGCCATGCACACAATTCCTCGAGCGTTCGAACGAGTGATCGTTCTAATATCTGTTTGATAAGTCATGACGGAATCCACGATATTATGAGAATACTCAGAATAATAGGTACAATGATTTCAAACAGCCCTCAAGAAAGTTTCCCAGCGGGAGCCACGGGAATGATGGCGCGAATGCGAATGAGAGTTTTCCCCGAGAATAGTTCCCGATGCTCATTTCATGTTTATCAGATCTTCCCCTCAAGTTTCGCTGACGCTTTATTGGCCCCGTCGTGATACAATGATGGCGGCAGTAAACATATTTGAATGGGTCGCAAGTAACAAGGGACGGCAAGCTTCTCCTATTATGATAGAGAGCAATCAGTGCCGCTGTTCGAGAGCAGTTCGAAGGATGAACGACAACGAGAGAGTCTGTAGGCATCTTATGGACTCCTGAGGCGGTCGAGGGCTCCTTCGTATTCGGCTACTTTCCCGTAGGTGAGCCTTCGCGAATCAAGACGCAAATGTCCGCTAGCCCCCATAGATCAAGATCTGCTTCTCCAAGACCTGATCGCTGGACAATCACGAGATTCATATTCTTCATATTTGATTCGAGTTTCGAAGCAGGAGGCGGAATAATCTACGAGATCGTCCGGAGACTCGGACGGCTGATGAATCTCTGTTTCAATTGACACGGATCGATGGTGGAACAATCTATAAGCAGCATCGTTACCTTGAAGATAGAATTCTGTAACAACATCCTTCGCCTCGATTGGATGCTTGGGACCCTGACTCGACATCAAAAGAAAAAGCAGCGTCAGTCGATGTCTGACCGAGGGTCTCAGAACAAATGCGGCTTCGTGACTGTGGTAAGTTTGCGAATAAACGGTTGGTCCTCGGATGGCTGACGCGGGTAAACAGAGCGATGGCCGTGTGCATACTGCTGCCCGGACTATTCATCATCAGAGACCGTAGAAGCTGTTCGAATTGCTTCCGCGTGAAGGTGCGACTTCTCATTTGCTCGGAGCCTCGTTAGTTACGAGTCGATTGATGATTAGGGGCTCGTCTCCGATCGGTCAATATTTCAACCTTGACAACCCAATTCATGAAGATTCGCCTGGCTTGAGAGCGGGAGCTCCCAGTGACCGGGATCCCCCTCGAGCGGATCCGGTGGTGAGCTACGGAGACCGCCTCGTCCTGTTGGAAGGCATCTCCACCGCACGCTCCGAGATCCGATGTCGCGCCATGAGTCTCGATAAGCCCTTCAGCGAATCTTATCCGCCGCAACAAAAGAAGAGCTTAATCGAGCTTCCTTGAGGCATATCTGAACTCCCCTGAAGAGAGCGATTCAATAGAATCTCGTCATAGCGGACACTTCGTTACGACTGACCGGTTGCTCGGTCGCGAACAAGACGATGGGATAATCAATGTTAAGGGACTCGGCTCTAGCGGACCCAATAATGGCTTTCCGGGTATCAGAGACTGATTTCCAGGCCCCGGTCCCATCTTCTCCCATGCTAATCGAATCGGTTACACGGGACCTATTCTTGCGAGCAGGGAAATCGCGAGCGAAACTCCTTGAACGATTTTCGAGGTTTCTCGCTGTCGTGAGCGCCATGAGAGAGGCTGCAGCGTTGTTTCCGATTATTTTCACCCTAAATTCCAAACGAGAGCCCGAATCCGGGTAAACCGGTCCGTTTCGGCCGGTCTCTTCTCGTCCGTTATCGCGAGGCTCTATTGTACTCGACCCGCAGAAGTCGATCCGGTAAAGCTCAGGGATGGCGGTTTGAGACCTGAATCAAGGGAATGGATCCAGCTCGGAAGCCAGTTGCGAGGGCTCTGACTCCGAGCCCGAAAGCTCGCAATAATCCGGGAAGGTTCTCCGACCCGCCCACACTGATCGATCCGGAGGGTTACTCAAAGACGAGAATCGAATCAACAGTAATAGCGATCATCGTTTCGAAAGCATTCCATCCCGCTATCCAGCGTTCACTGACATGCATTGAGACGACGTCACGGTCATGTTTTTTTTCATGGAATTTTTTCTCGACAAAGAGGGGCATTCTCGATTGATCCACAGCCAGATTACTGGTCGCTTGACCAGCCCCTATCATTTGGTGGATTGTTTGACGTTGTGAAAACCATATTGTGCTCGGCAGAATGCCGATATGAAGAATATCCCGTTTCCAAATGAGCGGATCCAAACTCTGTCCGCTCGTTTGTTGATTCGCTCGCTCAAATAGAGCTGCGGTCTCGGCCGGGATCTCATTACAAAATGATCCAGCCAGTGATCGGGTTCTGCGTGTTGGGCCTCGCGATCGGTGACCAAATCGTCAACGGAGGAGTCCGAGGGAGTATCCCCGTGGAAAGCTCGACCTCAACGAGTCCTTATGTTTCTCAAACACAGAGCAGAACATCGAACGGGCAACTTCCGACCAACTTCTCCCCAGAGCTCGGACATCAGGCCGGCGGTTACCGCGGATACCCACCAACGAGACACGGTTACTTCAGCTTACCGCATCCCCAGCGTCAACGACCCCCCTACCTGATGCAGCAATCCGTACCAAACCCTGTTTACGCAAGTCCTCTGCCGGGGGCGGAAACGTCGGTCCTTCATCCGCTGGGAATGATCAGATATCTCATCAACAGAAATTATCCCTCAGCGCTAAACCCCTCGCAAGCCTCGAACGGCTACCCGGCACTTCCCCTTCAGAGCTTCACCCAGCCTCAACTCAACATAGCTGCAGCTCATCATCCGAAAACACCGACTAATTACCTCGAGCCGTGAAGATCGCACGTGGTCGGCAAAACATGCTGCTTCCGGAGAACGTGCTAATGAGGAAGCCACCAAGAGCAATAATTGTGGCTTTATTGAACTTCCCTCGATGTATTTGCGTGGCAATTCGGTCTTCGAAGCTCGCTGCCTTCAGAGTCCCATGTCACGTGGGATCGAGTGCGCCGTGATATGCAGCGGGCAGAATCGTGACTTCAAGGATCTCCCCTGAGCACTACAAGCGCTCCGGAATTTATTGATTGGATTATCAATATACTGGAGCCGCCCGTTCTCTCACCTCCCAATGCCCTGGGAGTTTTCGGGATTGGGGTAGAGAGACTCATCAGTCATCAGCATGAAGGAGAGCAGTTGCGGCGGTGTTGCGCCAGAGTCATGGGTGATTCTATGTAAAAAATTATTTCGTCTACCATGTAAGGAAGGCTATTTATTCAGATCTGGAAATTCGTAGCCGTGTGTGCCAGCTTTTTGAAGGAAGACTCATTCTCATTCTTGCCAGTCCATGAACTCAGCCATGAAACTTATTTTCTCCAGCTCCGAAATCTCTGCTGAGAGCGCATAAGCTGTTCCGGGCGTGGTGACGTTCCTTGGATTCAGGCAGAGTGTACATGCGCCGCAATTGCCTATGGGGGCTTTCATGTACGCGACCATGTCTGGATTCAGCGAGTCTTGAGGGTTGGCTAGCCGGGGTATGATGGAGCAAATCGTTAGCGTCCTTGGGTGTCGCGTCGCAAATTCGGGTGGGGTTGAGCTTATCTTCGGAACCGAGCCGGTCACAGTAGGGAGAGCCGCGGTGACCATTTTAACCGGTATAGACACTATGTTGGCGGTCCCATGGTGATGGTCCAGCACGGAACGTAAATACGCGGCTTTTAGTTTCCTTCCCTGAGACCAGCTTCCCTGCAGCATCAGGGGGGGGGGACGTCTTTACCGTCGCAGATAGAAAAAGTACGGCGTCTCATGATTTTCGGTACCGTAACGTTTCTTATATCTGATAGGGGTGTCGTCGACGTCTTCAACGGTGGACTCGGCCGCGGATGCGGCCCGTAGTAGTTGGTTGGGAATTGTGATTGCATTCTAGGTTTCATGCGACCTATTATACACGGATATAATTCCGATTGTGAATCTGATGTTAAAACGCGGTTACCACAGGTACAGTTGATCGGGAGAAAAGTCGTGTTTTTGTCCAGGGTAATCGGTTTGCCTTGTTCTGCGTATCAAGAAAACGTCTGCCTCGAGCCTGGAGCAATGTGCGAATGATCGCTTCTAGCGAAGAAAAAACTCCAAGCTGACGGCGCGGCTGCGGTAATTCCTAAGCCTAACAGCTCCGCTAGGCTCCATTGGAATCGAATTTCTCGCTGCAATCATAGCTCTGAAAGAAACTATTGACATAGATATGGGGTGGAAGGGCGATGAGCACAGGTACCTCAATCGAACAGGCGAAGTATCTTGATTTTTCAAGGGTTCAAGTTCCAGTTAGCTTCGCTCACGGTATTCAGGGAAACGTGTGCCTCAAGCTTAGGGCAACAGGCATCGCACGGAGCGATCGCTTCTAGCTAGAGACAAGAAAACTGTGCTCTCTTGACGCGGAGGCAAGTCCTAACGGGTTCGGGTTGCGACGCATGAGCGCAAGCGCAACAGCGCGTGCGCAAGGGGCGCTCGCGTCACGGCTGCGGCGGCAGATCAAGAGGAATTCCCAGATCATCAAGTGGATCCTCTTGAAAAGATGACTTCGGTGTCGAAATGAGGTTCGAGCTGGTGATACGCTTTCAGGCAATGGGAGGGGGTGTCCGTGCTTCACAAACGTTTTAATTGGAATCGGTGAGGATTTTTGACTACAGACAGAATGTCACACAGACCTAGCGTTTTATATCTGGGGGGATTTATTCGGAGGAATATCATTACGACGAAATCGCTATTTCCTGTACGAGGTATCCCACGTCCCAATGCCCCAGTCACCGGACCCCGAAGAAGTCTCCCAAGGATGAAGCTTCTCTTTTGCATTCGCCAAATAAAATTTCCCGTTGGAATCGACAAGTTGGCTGGTGACCGTCCTTTGTCTGTGAAGGTTTGCCAGTCTTTCCATCAGGAAAATTCTCCGAGGGCTTACTCGCGAGCGGCGGAAAATCTACTTGCAGCGGAGAGCCACAGGAAGAAAAGCCATGGGGCGCGATTCGTGCAGTCTCCTTCTTGGCATTAGGGAAGTATTTTTTTTCTTTCCGATGTCGGATCGATTGACCCAGGGTTCAATGGGTAGTATCAATCGGGAATCGATCAATCGCTCTCATGCTGCAGCGGGAGTCTGCGTGGCCTATTCCCCATTCAGAAGAATTCTCCTGTGAGCCCGCTGAATTACTCGAATTTCCAGATTTCCGTCCAGACTCGAGCTCAGAAGCTTTTGCTGCGTAGAGTCTTCAAACTGACTTCTTGTGGGAGCCGACAAAAAAGACGACGGATTAGTAAGATTCAACGTTTGCATCCGCGAATGCATGGCAGATGCATTTGCGCGAGAGCAAACTTCAGCTGCTTCCCTATTCACCAGAGTCGTGCACAAAGTTGTGAGAGGTTTCACAACTCGACTTGACTTCAGATCCACTTTTGAGTGGAACAAATTGCTCGGCGGACGGAGAAGATGAATGTCGACTCACTCCGGAGGAGGGTGAGGCGGATTCACGATTCTCAGTCGACTGAATATTTCATTGACAACACGCTCTCATAGCTAAACTCCGAGTGCGCGAAAGCTGGCGTCTGTGTAAAAGTCACCGTTCGGAGTCAGAGCGAATGATGCGTCCCGGAGCGGAAAACAGATACAGGTATCTCGAGAAACGTTCGCATCTGTTATACCGAAGTTCGGCGTCCACCTTCTCATTACCCAAAGCTGTTAGGAGGAGAGCTTATTAGTTTTCATTATCGTACACACTGCTCCCCGTCTGCGTCCCCGACGACTCCGCCTCAAGGCTTGGCAGTCTCTCTTCTCGAATCGGCGGAAATCACGGAGCCTTAAGGAGAAGACGGCGATCCCTCAACGGTCTTCTCCTCCTGGATATCAAGGATGTCCTTCCTTTTGGATCCCAAGATCTCGTTCCGAAAATGATCACCGACTCCAGCAACGCTGTTGAGCATACCATACCGTATTGCGATGACATATCATCGGACCAAGCCGAGAACCGCAAGAATCGATTCGCCCCGGACGACACAGAAGAGCGCATTCGAAAAGATCGAGATTGCAAAATTAGGTAGTCTCCCCCGAAGCTTGACTTTCGGTCTGAGAGTCTCGCGGAGAGCTTGCATATGGAGTTTCCGGCTTATGACGAACATACTCTTTGCAGAAAAGAGGTCGAATATTCAATTTGTCATCCGAGCAGTGCAGCGGAGACGACACGTGGGGCAAGGCTGATCACCGGGACGATAGAGGTTGAGCGAATGCGGGAGAGGGGTCTATTCGGAAGCCCTTCATTCCGGATAAATTGAGCGAATCGTTTCCCATTCCGTGGCATCAGGTTTCGTGAACTCGAGAAGTTACGAAGTTCTGGGTGCCAATTACGTCATTCGATTCTTGCCAACAACTTTTTAATCGAGCGAAAACGCGTCTTTCGAGTCCAAGGGAAATTCTGCATCAGCTCGGAAGCTTAACTTCACTTCGCTCGCCAAATGGCAAGTTGTTTGCTATTGCTCGTTGAACTGTGATATTTGTTCGCGTGCGCGTTGACGCGGTGCTTTCGTTCGGACCGGAGAGAGAAAGCACATTTCGAGCGCTCGCTATTCTGTCTGAGCGTCAGATTGTAAATCAGTGAAGCAGCTAAACTCAATATCAAAAATGGCTTTTATCCGAAATCAGCGAAGGATGAACGAATTCTTGCCCCAACTTTTTTCCTCAAGGCACTCACAGATATGCCCATGATTGGAAGACTTCGCGCTGAATCGACGAGCGGACAGCTTCGTTTCGGAGGTGCTCCATGAGTCAACATCGTCGAAAGCTCCACAATCGCTGGAAATAACGGATGATCCTTCGGAAAAAGACCCGTATCGCGGCGTTAGGGGGACGAAAATAATCGAATGAAAGCATTCGTCAGTGTCCAAAATGAAATTTAATATTTTCTCCTGGATGTCAATAGGATCATTTTTAGAACAGGAATCTTTCTGAAACCGGAACAACGATTGCGAACTCGGCTCGGAATCCGCGCACGGAGACGATACAAATTGGTCCTCTTCGCTTGATCAGAGGAATATAAAATTCATCGAGACGCGTCCGGAATGGTACGGAATCCGGATCGAATTTTTCCATCCGCAGCACTTCACCTCGGACTATCCCGCGACCGTGTCCGAGATCACCACTGACCAATTGGGCTCTATGTTTCCATCATGTGGGTCGAGGGAATATATATTTTCGCCTTGACGTGTGCAGGAACTACAAAAGAGTTGAGCCGCGCTCGGGATTTCCATCAAGAGGCCTTCACCGACCCCAGAATCAATCAAGTAGAAATCCCGTCAGAATTCCCGAAAATTCCCGTGCCGAATCGATAAAATCATGAATTTGACGGGGATAATTCCCTACAAGGTGACACGCCATTTTGTGTTTTGAGGCAGCCTTTCCTTCGAATTCCACTCGACCACTCACAAGTTTCGAGGTCAAGAAAACCCGAAGATCCTTAGCAGGGGAAAGGCGGGCAACGGTCGCACCATTGAAATGCGAGTCCGTGACATATGCGTGTCACGGACCCCGAGTGTGCCAGAATTCAAAGAATCGAATCGAATCTTCTGAACCGATGGAGAGCGAGCTGCACGCGGACCGTACCATTCAAGGATCGTCAATCATCATCATGAGTTTTCGGGATTTATCACCCATTTCTCCGTGGTAGCTCTGGGTGGTTTGTCCGAGCTTAATCAGCGACGTAAAGATCACGGGTCATTGAGGAGCGGGTGAGCTTGAAATGATATGCGATTCCCCGCTCCGGAAAAATGCTGTCCGCAGCAGAATTCCCAGCTCTTGTCGAAGGCTTCGTTCCGATAAGTACGAGTCTTGTTTTTCACAAGAGACCATGGGTTCGTAGTGCGAAAATTGCGTCACAGACCGTGGTCACGCGAGAGGCAGCCACAGTAAAGACACAGAATAACGATCCCGTCAGATTTGCATATTAATGTCAGAGCACCCCTCAAGTCTCAGCGACTGTGCGCGAGCAAGTTAACTCGCTCACCCACTGAACGAGCAACGGGCGAGTTAGCCACGCAGCGAGCTTTCCGGTGAGAGAGTTTATATAAAGAGAATATCGCCCACCCCGCCTCACAACTACCATGCTTCAAAGCTGAGAATGTGGTCTGCCATAGTATCTCTCTGTGTTTGTTCTGCTTCTGCGCAATTCAATCCCTTTGGTTTCGGTCATTTTCCCGGGCAGCAAGGCTTCGATGGGTACGGCTCGTACGGTAATGCCGACTTCAGTCAGTTCCAGGGCGTGTCGTCCAATGGGGGAGACTTCAACGCGAACTCTCTGACCGGCTACGGAGTGCCTCCAAGCGTCAACTACGGAGACCCGAATCAAGGATTCGGTCAGGGATTCGGGCAATACGGTGCAGTCCCGGGCGGCTACCCCGGTCAGGGACCTCTCCCCCAGGACGGTGGACAAAACCACCCACAACAAGGCGGTCCTTCTGCAGGACAAGCCGTTCAGCACGAGAACAGCGTACAATCGGGCAATCCTTCGTTTAACCCCGGGAATCAAGGGCAGGCGCCCGTGATCGGTCAACCGGGACAGTCCGTTTTGAATCCCGGACACCAACACAACGTTGGGTTGTCCAATCAGATAAACGCAAATCAGAACCATGCCCAAAGTCACCTCGCCTCCCAACAGTTAGCGCCTCAGCTCGAGCATCAGCACCAAGTTTCCAATCAGCACCAGGCCGCTCATCTCCATCATCATCAACAACAACAACACCACCATCATCATCAAGAGCCGCAAAGACTACATCAAGCACCGGGGTCTCATGGAGAAGCTCAGATAGGAAGCGGTCACGTTCCGTCAGCCCATGGCGCCCCGTCTGGTGTTCATTCAACGGTTCCGGAGGGTCAGTTCGAAGTCAATTACAATGGGGTGTCCCAGTATCCTGAACAATACCAAGGACAACAGCTGGGACTGCAAGTACCACAACAGTACCAACAGCAAACTCAACAAAACCACAGAGAGAAAAGTGCGAGCTCCCCGTCGGCCGCGTCTGCGCCCCTTGAGAGCGGTAGTTTCAGGGGAATCCCGCTAGAAGCTTTCGTGCGGCAGAATTACGCCCAACAACCAATTCAGGAGCGGCCAGGAAGTCAACAACATCCCCACGGCTCGAGTGAAGCGCCCTCGCAGGGGTCCCACGACCAGACGGAGGAGAGCACCCAGAAAGAAGTCAGCAAGTCCTCCTGAATTTCTCATTCAAGAGTGGACTCCCCGACAGCTCGAATACATTTCTGAGAGCCCGACGGAAATGAATAAATATTTGAGTGCTTTGTACATAGTCCGAGATGGGACGCCAAAACTTTATTCACGATTTTTTTCGATCATCGGAGTCTGAGCCTCTCCGACGCGGGATTGGTCAACGGGCCATCGTAGCCCGCTTGACGCGACAATGGATTGTCGTTGTGGTATCGTGATTCTCAGCAAACGTAATGCTTCTAGATGATCTTCGGGTGTCTGTAAGTCGGGGATAAAGCACGGTTTCATCAGTTCCTCTCGTATTATTTAGCATCGATCATCCCTCTTTCTCGCATGCTTTGACTGGTCTGACATGCGTTTTCGCTGTCCTACGATCCAAGAGGATAAAATTGGAATGGGTAGACTGATAGACACAAAGTTCTGGAAGCCTCGAGCCCCATACTCACCGACTGCAACCATTCCATGCGCTTTTCGGACTGCTCTCTCGACTTCCGTTCATGTTTCTCGACGTAAACAGCTTTCTCTGCTTTCGACATTTTTTTCCATTTGACGGCGAGTTCGCGAGCTCGGAGCTGAGGGGGAGGAAGTTCCTCAATCTTTGATCATGACTAGGCTTCCCAAAGAACCGCGGTTCTGAGCGGTTCCTCGCGAATCCCTATACACGCCCAATGTTCACGACTATGGGTTCGAAGCGGACCAAAACCTGAGCACGAAAGCAGAGGATGAGACGATTGAAACATACTTACCACCATTTTGTGCGCTCCCACCACATGTCTGCCCATGCTTGGTGCGCCGAGAATTTCCTCGTATTCATCTTCCGTCCTTTTCGTCCCCTGCAGAAAGAATGATGTGTCATTCCTTGCGCTACCACCACAACTCTAATCAATCGAATACTGCATGGACGACGTGAACCGTCAACGCAAAAATTCATGTCCTCACATCCTCATGTCGGTAGTGCTCCAGGACGAACATCTTGAAGCAATTCAATGCAGCTTTGGGCTTTCCGGTAACCTTTTCGAGGTGTCTGACTTTCCGATTCGCTAGGAACCTCTCGCGGGACGCCATATACATGACACGATTGAATTGATCTTCTTCCGGTAGGCTGTTGAGGAATTCTCTCATTTGATCATCGAACGTCGCTTTGTGTTCTCGCAAGCGATCTCTGTACATCTGGAGACGATCAGGGGGGTTAAAAGTCAGGGGCCATGTTCTTTCAGAGGAGACAGCTCGTTACACGACAGTGACATTATTGTGATCTGCGTTTTGTCGATCAATTTTCGTACTTGTTTCTCCTCGTCTGAGAGGGTCCCCCACGCTTTGCCAAGCCTGATAGTCTGAATCTTGGTGCTCAATCCCAGTATGGGATTTTCTTTCACGAAGAGCGCGAAAACGGTACGATAATTTGACGGCGGCTTGATCATGAGCCTCTTAAACGGTGTCCTGGTTTTCCAACTGCAAGAGAGGATGCCGACCTGAACTTGAGCATCCGGTCGTTGATATTGATGCTAGGCTGCCACATCCGCCAGAGTACACAATATATATAGTTCATATCGATCGCAATATAATGTAGACTCAATCTTCCCGTAGGTAGTCCTGGGGGATGACATTGGAAAATCCCTTCAGACTCATAAACTCGGCTTGAGCTTATGTTTGAAGCGTGCGCGAACTTACTTGAAGTCTGGCGATGGTTCAGCGGTCGAAGCAGGTGAGGCCATGGTCCGAACGCTCGACTCCAGCCCAAGACGTAGTTTACCTACTTGTCTGACCATTGAGATCATCCTCGTATTGGGGGAATTAATTATCACTCGAAATGTCTCTCATTGTGGAGTACCATTCGCATCTGAGCGCAGCTGCATCAGCTGTTGGGTTGTGTTTATAGAGGGCGCTCGAGTCTTCGAGCAGAGGTGGATGGTGAAATGATAGGCCGTTCTGCTCACGTGTCGCGAGGCGCGCGAGGAGACTGATGACGGATGAGCTTCTCGGAATGTGTCACGGAGGGCGATTCGGGAGCTGGAGAGCTATGCAAGCGAAGCATATTTTCAGGCAGCTCATGGATTCTATACATCTGACTGCTGTTCATTGATTGTCATTCGCCATGAAACGTGCCCCGCCGGCGGCACGGCCGAATTCCATAGCCTCGGGACCGGAGAACGGTGCAGAGAGTTGCTCCGAAAGAGAACCCATGAAGCTAGCCGAGCTCTAACCTTGGAGTCTTGCAATCCACAGGAATCAGTTGATAGGCCGGCGATCGCTCCCCAAGATAACTTGACTCCCCCCACCTCTCAACTCGATGGAGCTTCCGAGCGCGATACTCACCCGCGAGAGCCCGCGAGAGCTCCTGGGATGCTTGTTTAGGTAAGGAGCGGTTATTGATTTCCCAGTTCGGGTTCCCATTCACTGACCTCCACATTGTCCTCCCCTCCGACCCAGCCCAGGAGGATCCCAGTCATAGGCTCATTCACCTTCGTGAGCGAAGACGGGAGCAGTCCCCTGTCCTATAGTATCAAAGTTGGGAAACTCCCTAAGATGTAGGCATTCCCATCTTTACGAGGACACGGTGTTGCATGGGGCGGTAGATACCGATTCAATCGCCTGCCGGAATCTGATGAACGGATGCGCACCGAGGCCCGGAGGAAGAATTAGCTAAGTCTTAACGAATGTTGAGGATGCATGATGCATTTATTCAATGTGATCCATATACAAGTCATGAGGGGGTGAGCAAAGGATCGACGGAAGTTTTCCCGTGACGGGCATGGCCCGTCTCTTCTTCGGCTTGGCGCGGCAGAAACGGCGAGCGGCTGCTGAGAACGTGAGCAGTCTATCGAGGGGGTCATCGCCGGGCTTTGGTGCTGTAAAATGACTAAATCAATGAAATCATCCCGTTGTTGAGATGTCTCGCTCATCGCAAACGAGAAACATTTCCGATGTTCAAGTGTGTCCGTCGAATCAGGAACTCACTGTCTCTTCAATGCTCTCTGGTCGTCATCCAGATCAACAGGGGATCGCTCCCGACCTCGTTCGCGACTACGTTCCGAGAGACCGTTTTTGTCTCTCTCTTCGCGACGGCCTCGTTTGCGTTCGCGCACTTCACCTTCTTCTCGATCTTCTTTTCTCCGACTCCGTTTCCTGGGGTCGTCCGCTCCGCCATTACCGTTCGGTTCTTCTGGCTTCAGAGGTCTGGGAAGAGGCTCTTCACTCGTACGAGTCCTGCGGAAAACGAGAAAGCTTGGAGTGTCGACCAAGACTGACCCGATGTCGAATCGACGTCCAACGGGTCGAGCCGCTCTGGGGCCATCAAGGGGTGCCATATACCTCGTCAAGGAAGGATGCTCCGCAAACGGAGGAATCGATGACTCGAGCTCGAATCAGGAATCCCTGTACCACTTGACAGAGTTCTGCTGGGTGCTCGACTACGATTCTCGGCGAAATATCAGAGTGCCTGATTTCTACTCACGGTGGCTTAACCTTCCGGACTTCTTTCGGCCGAGGGGGAGCTGCTTTGGCGACTTGTGCCGGCAGCGGACCACTCGTCGTTGGAGAAGCAGAAGTGACGCCAGTGCTCGGCGCGGGTGTTGTCGTTGTCGTGTTCGGAACAGTCGGAGCCGCGGATGCGGCAGCCGGAGCAGCAGCGGAAGCTGTGGCCGTGTTGGTGGGTGCAGCCGCGGGGTTCGCTGCGGCTTGCGCTGTCGAATTTGATGCGATGACTTTCTTGACGATCGCGGCTTCCTTTTGGTGGAATTCATGTTCGGGCACGCATTGATTCTTTATCGTTTTCAGATGGCCCGAGTACCTGAAACGGAAGCGTTTGTCATTGATTTCGGGCGAATCGTTCTCGACCATGAGATTGACGGACAGTATGCACGGAGCGAAAATCAGAGATCCATGCGGGAATTCCCCCCGGTCATGTGAGACTCACATGCTAGCCAAGGAGAAAACATCTTTTCGGTTCTCCCGTTCCTCGGTCTTTATCTTTTCGACTCGCTTATCGAGAGCCTGATACAGATTGCTGATCTTCGGAAAATGAGGGATGAGTTTGGTCAACACAATGAGTCCGTTCTTCAGCTGTACGTCGTTGTCGCTCTCCAGGCAGATGACCAGAGCCTTCGTGAGCTTGTAATGCCATTTGTGACATACGTGACGGTAGTTCTCATAGTCGACGTCGTTGTCCCGGTGACTATTGTCGCCCTGGGCGCCTTTAAACCGAGTGACGAATCCCGGGTACTGCGCGCATTCCTGATTGAAAGTCTCCTTGTCGGCATGCCATCGCATCATAACGTCCAGCAGGGTTCCAAGAAACAGACCGTAGTAATACGCCTCAGATTCCGTACACAACGCCACGGTGTAGGTGATGTCACAGAAAATTTTGTCGAAACAAATGAGCGTCGAGAAATTCTGGGTCTTCAGCTTGTGTAGGGTGTGAACAAAGTGGGCGCAATAGACCGCGTCCATTGGGGAAAATCTACACCGGGGAAAGAGACACAGCTGGAGGAACTGAGTGATAGTGTCGTTTTTCAGCGTGTGAGATATGAACCAAGAATCTTTGTCCTGCCGGAGACGCGTCATGACGTGCACTACGTGTTCCTCCTGACGCTGAACCTCTTCTTGGAGCTTGTCCATCAGTGCCACACAACGCTCCCGATCCTTCTTTTTCTTCGCTGGAGCCAACTCCTTGTTTTCCTCGAGACTGGCGACTTGCATTCTGAGCTTTTTGAGCTCACGCTCGTACGCGTCGTTCGGGACAACGACGTCGCTCATCGACAGAGTCCAAAACGCGACGTACAGCTCGCTGCTCAGATCTTGCCAACATTTCGGAGGATACATGGGCTTGATCGCGTCGCTAAGCGGTCCTGAAAAAAACGCATGTTCTCTGTCGTATTTTAATGCTCCGATGTACCAGCCATTGATTATTTCTCGCTCATCGAATTGAATGTCGGAAGGTCAAGAAAGTTCAAGAGTTTCAAAACCTGGGCCATTGTTCATCCAGTCGTTCTTCATTCACGAATTCTCGAGTCTAGAAGATAAACTCAGAACACTCACCAAGCACCGCGTTCACAGCGTCGACGTACATCTTTGACTCGACTTGTTTGCTGACTGATTCGGTTGTGGGTTGATTTTTCATTTCCTGGAACTTGTTCTCAATCGTCTCCATCAAACCAGGCCTGGCCAGGAAGAAAGCCACGTCGGCGGTCACCCCGTGTTTCGATAGGAGTTCGCCCACCGGGGGTAAACGGTGCTCACTGGAGCTGTAGTTAACCAGGAAGAATTGTCCTAGAACAGATGGTAGTTTTCGAGTCCGTTCTTTCAAACACATTCAATTGATTGACGATCTGCTCGAGAATCAATCCGACTAAATCACGCGGATTGTTTCGATATACGTACCGAACTGGAACAGGACTTCCTGACAGAGATCGTACATTTTGCCTAGTAGTTTTATATGAGCGTCGTCGATTTTATACAGGATGTACTCTTTCTGCTGCGCTACTAGGAGACATAGGGGAACGGCTAAATCCAGCTGGACTAGAGCGTCTTTGAGTCGTTGGCTGCTTTTTTTCACGTTTTTTACTTGCGTAAAATAACCGGCCTCACTCCTCAAAACTTCACCTCCGTACATCGCATCAAGCTGATCGTGGGTCGGCTGTTGCATACACTCGATACCCGACATTTTGTACACGATTTCCTTGAGGACGAGCAAGTCCAGGCTGGAAGGTGAAAGTCCAAGTTAACTGATGGTTTCCGTCTTCCGATCGATCGTCCAATCTCCATATAATTAATCGTCGATTACAATGAGAGCTCCGATTTCAACGAGAGAGCATCGATTCCACAGACAGCTCTATCTTAATTTCCCGCCGGACAAACTTACAATTTTTCAGCTTTGATCTGATTAGCCAGAAGCGCAAGCAATCCACAGAGGTCGATGTTGTACTTCTTGAATACTGTTCCGCAAAAGCTGGCGATGGACCTCAACCAACCACTCACGGTCACACCATCGTCTCGGAAGCGGTCTTTGTTCTGCGTCGCTAGAGCTTCAACTATGCAGAACGCCAGACAATCGTAGGATAAGCTCGTCAGGAACTTCAACGAGTCCACCTTGAGGGATAGAGGGACTCCGGTTCACTCTGGGATTTCTTGGGACGGAAGCTCATACAGTCGGACAACTCCCTGAATTTACGTCATTCCTCTCCCCCTCGGCTGTCGCTGTAGATCGAACACTCACCACTGGACCGATGAGATTGTCCCAGATCTGTGCTTGGGAAAGCATGTAGCCAAGAACGTGACACGGGGAACAGTGGGCTAGCTTCGCGATTTGTCTTCCACACTGCTTCGCGGTTTCCTTGGAGAGCCTTTTCATGATATGACGCGACCGTCTGGTCGTGATTGCTCTTTGTCGGATCAGCAGAGGATGCGGTGACTCCAACTTCCAAGAGGCGTACAGACGATACCTTAAAGACAAGGAATTCAGGAAACGTGAGATTTTGTTCCCTCCCGAGCGGAAATCCTCTAGTCGGACTCGGGTTCCGTTCTTGAGCCACGGAACCGCAGGCGGAATTGAAGGAGATAATCATTCTCACCTCTGCTCGTACGAGTAGGTCTTGATGACGCACCAAAGTTCTTCAGACACGCAGCAGTTCCCGGGCAAGAGCTGCAGCGACGGTAAGAGGGCATCGTCCATCAAGGTGAGAATGTCGAATTCCAGACCCTCTGTATTCTGTTCCTTCTTCTCCTCGGGCTTGAGCGCCGTGTACGCTTTACATAGGCGCACAACTTTACTAAGCAGGATAGGATCCTTGTGGAGCATCGGACCAAGCAGACAGACGACAGGAACAACTTCTTTTTGGAAAGCTTTAAATGTCGAGATCTGATCCGTATGAGCGACCCCCTCGAGTTTCTGCTTCGCGGAAATTTTCTTCCGGTAAAGAGGGGCGACCGTCGAGTTCTTGCTGTACAAGGGATCGATGATGTAGTGCAACGTGTTCATCATCGTTCGATTGACTTCTTCGTTGAGCATTACAAGAGGCGCCGGGATGAATTCCAGCAGCATGAGGACATCTGACCACGCGCCGACATGGACGAGGGCGGCCAGCAGTGAGAGTTTCTGGAAACTTTCCTCTTTTTTGTTGGACTCGTCCAAATCGGTCTCGCCCTTCTCAAACTCGGCGTACTGTTCGGGAGTCATCGCTGCGACGTTCCGCGCCCAGGCCTTCGCCGCGGCGACTTCTTCCCGGAACTTCTCGGCCAAAACCTCGTTCGCTGGGGAGAGCTGCAAAATGGGAAATGGAACCGTTCAATGCGATACCGAAAAAGTTCCCACCACCGACAATCGCTCGGATCCGGCCGATCACTCCAGCTGAGGTCTGATACTCACAAGTGGAAAAATTTGTTCGGTCTCGATGATTCCGTTCTTGATGAGTAGAGCGCAAACCTTGAAAAGCGTCACCGGCGTCTGCGAAGAATTCTGCTCCGCATCTTGATAAAACGAGAATTTGAAGCCCATTATTTGTGCGACGTTCCCTGAATCCATGCCGAATTCTTTGAGAACGCCGATGAATAGTTCGTGTCTGGAATGAGCAGTCGCTTCGGTGAATTCCAACCCGTGTCGCAGAAAAATGAGCGAGCACGCCCGTGGTGGAACTTCGTCGTGTAGGCGCTCTCACCTGTCCAATTGATTTTCTAAAGCTTCGAGAATCGTATCGATGACACGATTCGGGTCGAGGGAAAAACATCCGATCAGAGCCTTCAGAACGTTGACCAACGCGGCAACATCGGTATGCGTGCGACAGAGAAGCTCGGACATCAACTTTGCGTAACCCTCGCTTTCCTCACGATGCAGGTTGAACTTATTTTGTTTGTAACTGTGGGGAGCAAGATCAGGATTCAGTATGAGCGAAGATCGTCGATCGCATGATCGAAACCATACCGCGAGTCGCACCGTTCTTGAGCCGAGAATCACTGAACTGAATGCACCGGCAACGGTTCAGGCGGAAATCTCTAACTTACAATAAACGAGTTTTGACTCGTATCATCTTTTGATTCGCTGCTTTCGGATTCTTGACCAGATCCGCTTCGCCTAGAAGGTCCAAGTCGAGACGCTCCTTCATCAGGTCCTCATCCATCGTTCCGGCTACCGCTTGGATCAGCGCCACGAGGTTCGGCCTCGCTTTCGCTTCACACTGAGTGTGAGAATCCAAAACTTGAAAGACATCACACAACGTGTCTTGGAAGGAAACGGTGATTGGTAGAAGTTTCACCAATTTCGTCGCAGATTGCGAGCTCTCCAAGAAAGCCTCCAGCATCGAGAGCAGCCGAGCTGTTGCCGCTGCAGAAGACAAAAACGAAAAATTTGATCAGATCGAAAACACTTAACGGTTGAGACATTTCTTTTCGCATTCGGAAATCGTGCAATCATTTTTCTCCCTCGGTAGGGATTATCCGTCCCCGACTGACCGATGCCTTCGGCGGTGTGACTTCCATTTTCCAATCGTTGGGCTATTTCTTTGAACGCTGTCGATCTGAAAAGTTCAAAGCTCCGAATCAAAGAAGGTGGATAGGTCGAGGCATATCCGATAGTCTCACGGATACTATGTACCTAATGATGAAAATCTAGGTCCGTGAAATCGTGTGGAATCTATCCCAGAGTCCGGGCAATGAAATCTTCGTCGAGAGTCAAGAGAGCTGAACTAAAAGCTGTGTTCAGAGAACAAGGCTCTAATCAGTCAATCGGGTTCTCCGGGGGCGGCGAAGGATGCGCTCAAAACCGAGCGTGACATTAGAATAATTCCACGATCGGACCAGGGACATTCGCAAGGAATCCAAGCACCCTTCGTTCAAGATGGCGCGAACGTATTCGTGTTTGGCAGGGGTATCGTGGATTTTTTTCCAAAAGAAACCGTCGTTTCTCAGCTCGGGACTTCCCACATCGGAGCTTGTTTTGATTCTGCCGGCTCAACTGCAGACACTGGAAACTCGAGCCGGTATCGTAACTTCGATCTCCCCGCAAGATTCCGGAAGGGGCATCAAGGAGACCACCCGGCCTTTGAATATCGCTCCTTCAATCATGGGTCCCGCTGTCAGTCTCTGATTGAATCGCAGGAATTGACCTCCGGTGATAGCCTGCCTAATCGTACAGTGGGGACCCCAGCATATCTCTTCCCTTCGAGCTGTCGTCGAGGATATACCCGAAACCACTGAGAATGGTACAGCTCTTCAACTTTTGCTTCCTCTGAAACTTGAAGCCGGTTCGCGAGAATGATGTCCGCGCGCCACATGACTCATCCGGGGTCCCTCGAATCCCTCGGGCACGGGAGTGATGTTTCACGAGAGCAGCCTCCCGTACATGCTCTCGACGGAAGTCGCGAGGTTTCAGAGAAGTACTCACATTTGATTTGAATTCGACTCAGAGTCAATGTCTTTGAAAACTTTGACGAGGCCTCCGTCTCCAGCGGACATTCTGGATGAATGGGAGAAAGACGAACAACGGCTTATACCCAATATGGGATACACGAACTAATCGTGAAGCCGGAGGATGATTTCTTCGGCGAATCGAACCAGCACACGGACATCACCAATCACCACCACTGCCACCACTGGGAAACAAGTTTGTTTTCGCCGCAATGATGACATTGATCTGAGAGCCCGTGTTGTCTTCGTTCGCGCTCCGTTCTGCCGACTCGAGCGCGGTAGATCCTTCTTCGGTTTTCTGTACCGGTTCAAAATCGAAGCTTCTGCCGCTTGCGATGTGAAAATGCCCGATAAACACGAGAAAAGGCCAAAGAAACTCTATTTTCTGTTCGCGATTCGCAAGATTGAGCGAAACTGATTATCTGCGCGCTCTAGGGATGAAATATCCTTTCATCTTCTCCCTGGGCATAACTCCTGGGTGCTCGTTGGTATTAGATGGGGTACGGGCCGTCTCCTACTCCCCAGCGAATAACAACGATTACGGCATATATGCTCCAGGAAGACGAAATCACGCGACGACTTCGAAGGGACGAACTTGGGATCCCACGGAGAGAATCTGCTCTCCCTTCGGTAAATCCGCCTCTGAGACAGCCCTCGCTTAGGGAACCTCGCGAACGATCTGGCATTCTCGCTCAGACACACCGCCACCCAGCTCTGAATGTTCAAATGAATTTCAGAACCCCGAGCGCGACGTGATACAGTGGAAAATATTCCAATGATGACCCAATCTCCGATCAGATTCCGGGAGCTATATCGAGAGACAGCCACCAAGACTGTCCGAATAGCATTAGTCGGGGAGGCTTGCCATCCCCGAAAGGAGAAAAGTAATGAGTAATGAGGAAGCTCGTACGTACGTTACAGGCGGGCCTGGAGGTAGGTACGTCGTGGTGTCTCAATGGGCTTTCTGCGTCAGAAGCCGGGAATTCCGGTGCGGGCCGAGAGGGAATACATGAGCATCGCCTGGAAGGAAGTTCGGTCGCGAAACCCCCCTCCCCCTGAGCATGATATCCGAATGTCTGAACGGAGGGACTCGCTGGAGAATCGACTAACCATATGTCGAACCATCCTGACAGGTCATCCCGAGTTCCCGCTCATTGTTCGATCCCCTCATCGAGATCATCAAGATCACAACATCAAGATCGATTCCCTCCCCAGCACAGCGCCATCATCATAGCGGAATAACCTTGTCGGACTCATCGACTCGATCCGTCGAAGGCTAAGAAGTGTTGATCTCGGTCTCTTCTCGGAGCCAGTAACATTTTCCCGCCGATGCGGGAGGCGCTCTGGAAGACCCCTATGCTGAGGAGCTCAAGGAAAATCCTGCGAATGTCTGGGCAGAGAAGCCGGCGGCGGCCCCCGCCATTCGATTGACGTCACTGAAGAGTTTAACTAAGCTGAGACTTAGTTAAACTGGAAAGACCCTTGCTCTTTCGTTCAATTTTGGCTCAGTCTTGCGGGTGAGTCGGGAGCTATGTGCGAAGAAAAATCACCGGGTCTTCCGATATATCTGACGATGTTCTTGTTTCTTGCTGTCTCGCATCTTCGCCCACCAGAATATAAGCATTCTCCGTAACGGCTCCGGGACTGGAATCTCCCCCCCGTTGATTCAATCGCGAAGATCACAGAGAAGCTTCACGACTCGGGAATTCATGCCTTGCTCCCCATGGTGTCATACACACGACCCCGACTCAATCCGATCAGGCGGCGTGGAGTCCATTTCATTTCGTCGATGACAAGTCTCGATTTCTCCGTAGGAAATCGTCTGTCTAGAGCAGTCAAACGATGCTGCTCCCTCTTTCGAGTCGAGCTGTAACGTTGGCCAACTCTCGGAGCGGTTCTCGAGGTCGCCGATCCTGATAGCTCCGTGCCTGATTCCTGAGAAAGATATCTAGCTCCTTCGTAGATGCGCCTTGCACCCGTATGTCGTGCAAAGCCGGACACTATGAATCAAGAGCTTCAACTCAATATTCTCGTCCTTGGACGGCGTTTTCCTTGCATCCCCCCCCGCTCGCTTCCCATGCTTTGGGTCGCTTTTTCGTCAGTCTTCAATGCCTTTCTGCCAGCCTTTTCCCAGTATTTAATAGCCTGAAGTCCCGATCTCTAATGATGATGAAGAACCGTGTCACCTCCATCGGGATGGCGCCCCAAACATCAACTCCGAGGTGCTCTAGAATATTCCCCTCTTGATCTGGCTGGATCATTCCGGATCCATCTTGAAGCCCTCTTGCGTCATCTGAGTAGGATTCGTATGGAATCGCAAGCTAATGAGGGTAATATTCCAGAGGCTCCCGAAATGGACATATGGGGTGCTCCCCGATGAGGAGGAATTCGGTATATGATCATTATATTGACTGATGCCGTGTCCCTTTGCGGGGACTTGACGAATGAGCGAGCATGGGGAACAGGGCGAGGGGTCGCCCGATCCTGCTCAAATTCCCAGCAAAAATCATCGCCATGATTGTCTTCACGCTCCTCGCCCATTGCCGGATTCCGTTTCTTTAGAGTTTCTCCGGCGTTCTCCCATGCATTTCTATCAATGTATCAGGCGGAGTATGATTCGATGCTGTTCGGAGCATACCTACGAACCTACACTGAATTAATTTGATCGTTCGAGTCTAGTTCACGTCTACGATCAGGTGGCGCGTGTTTGGGATTCGGTTCGAGACTTGAGGAGAGAGATGCGGCAGCAGTAGCAGTCTCTCTGTATGTGTATCCATTATCCATCTCCTGACTGTGTGTGAGAAGTGCTACAGATTGATTCTCCGCTGGGAGAGAGCCTCCGCTCCTCAGAATCAGATGTGCGACAACAACGCGTCTTAAATTACTTCTTCAAAATTTTCTATCGGATATATAGGGTGTGCACCAGTTTTCGACGAGCGTGCCAGGCGTTGGCAGGGCATGAGTTATGCTGCGAAGTGCGAAATTATCTTCAGGGTATCAGGCCACCTCTCAAGATCTTCGCAGTACAAAGATCAGTGAATTAAAGAGTCGTTGCCCTGGGTAAGCTTCTCGGACAGCCAGGCCGTTCCTTTAGGATGAACTACTCGGAGTCTAATGAACCCTCCCTCGGAAAGAGGCAGCTATGCCAACAGCTTTTTACCATAGGATCAGATATGATGATTCGAATGTGATCCCCTGATGCCACTGTTTCCTCTATTCGGTCATCATTCCACATCTTATCCGGATTTTTCGTTTTCTCGAGGGTAATCGCGTCATTCGGCTTTCCCTATTAGCAGGAGGAACACCGGGCTCAAATTCTTGCAGTGAATTTTCGCTGAGCTCTGAGCACGGCTCGTGGTAAGGAAACACATTTTGCTGCACCTGTCCTCGGTTCCTCTTGTAATTCGTGTCTGCACTTATCCCTCCGCCCCTCAAATACCAAAAGTCGTCGACAGTCTTTGTCCCGGCTCCTCCCTGGGAACGGGGTGGGGAACCTCTCGCTGACCCTTCGATTTGCGCCCCGGGAGTTCCTTGGAGTTAGATCACCCTCCTCTTCGCACAGATGCCAAAAACTCCCCTTACCCCAGGTGATGCGGGTCCCAGACCGCGTTCTGTCAATACCAATGGCTGTTCCGTTCGCAAGGACGTTGCCAATCGTCGCAATCATCAAGAGCAGGCGGCTGCCCGAAATCATTTCGATAGCAGATGACGACAAGCGCTCGATAAGTCGCAACGATAGCAGCTTCCCTTATCTTGGGAAGTTCTGTTGAATCGAACGGGGGAAGTCTAAGCTGAGCTCCCTCACAATATTCCCAATACCTTCAGAATATACCCAGCAGCGGGTAACGGGGGCAACGGTCGATGCGAGTTCGTAGAACGCACCATCTTATCTAACATCTATCCTAATTATTATGACAAAGTGGAGATACTTTCATACATCATACGTAGATCAACCAGCCAGTTGACGCTTCGGACCCGCAAAGCACAAAATTGTCCCCATAAAGCACTCGTTCGGCTCTCGGTTTCGTCAATCGTCTCAGGTGTCTCGTGTCTGTGGGAGCCGCAAATTTATTGTCCGCTCCGCGAACAGAAAAAATACGTCAGAATTTCAGAATCGCTTTCGTTTCAGTCTCCTGGAACGGGTCCATGACTCAGAATTCTGTCTGTCGTTTTCATCGGTCGGCGTGAACTACGATCTGAGCATGTAAGTCCAGAGCCTCTCCCGTCACTGCTGACGATATTTGATCAGGAATGGAGACGATTTCCGGCTGCATTGATCACGAAGTTCCCCGAAAACCACTGAGAAGGTCTCGAAAACGACTGAATGTTCCCGTCACAGCCTAACGTCATGTCAACGAAGATGAGAATCCGTCCTTTACCCCATTCGCAGTTCGCTCCCGCCCGGTTTTCCTTTCGTCGGTCCAGTGCTGAGTGTACACCCACCAGCTATCCATCCTCTTCTGGACGAGACTTCGACCGTATGTGGACTCACAGATCTGACCGCCTTCTCGATTCATGCCTCCGTGCCCGATATTGTTCACACCGTCCTCTCGCAATTCATAGTCACACCGCTGAAAAAGTAAGTGCCTGCCTGTTTGCAATTCAAATACTTAGCGAAGACCCAGCGATCGCGTCTTGCACTCTCCTGAGTGGAGAACGAGCGCAAAACTTCGGAATGGATATTATACCAGACCTCGACTGAGTTATGTGGACAGCGTCTCACGCGACGTATATCTCCGTGGCGAGATACCGCAATCGAGTTAAAAAAAACTCGGAACCGCTCATGGACATGAAAGCTGTACCCGCCGTCATGGGATTATCGTCTGATGTCGTTTTGCCCACTGACGCATCGTTTGAGCGGCTGTGAAGCATTTGGGACGAACTAGTCCTCTTCTCCTCGCTGGTTCCCGATCGACTTCGGTTGAATGAGCGGTCACTCCTTTCCCTAACCACGACTGAGTGCGCGCGCTCTCGCGACCCCTGAGGAATGATGCTGTGGCCGAGGACAGCAGGACGGAAGACCCCTCCGCTCAGAACGTTCCCCGCTGGAATAAAAATAGTTGAAATTCCGTGAATATTTTGATTCTGGGGCAATCTTGTCTACGTAGCATATGTGCAATATACTCTATATATTGAATATATGCCAAACCCAGAGCACCTGGATATTCACACGGACTAGGTGCGGGAAGTTTCCTCCGCTCTTCGCGACTTTGGGACCTGAATGCCGACAGCAGATGTGCTCGTTCAGCAGAGTCTGTCAATTCATTGAAACTTTAATTTCGTCCCTCAATCAGCTAGCTATTCCCAATCTTCCTGAGCTTCCTAGCTCTTCCGCAGTCGATGCCACCCGCCGAGGGCATAGGATGGGGCTCATCCTCAGAAGCGAACCGCGAATCAAATATCTTGGAAACGAGATGGAGTTGAGATTTGCCGAGACGCTCGAATGGATCTAATCCCTTGATTTCTGGGGTCGATCGAATGCCACGAATGAGCGTTTTTTACGCTTCGCAGAGGGTGGATCGTGCGCAGATTGACGAATTGATGCAAATCCGACGAATAGATCTCGTTGATACATCAGTCTAACGACGAATTTTTTGCAGAAAAGAGGATATTCCTCAACCCGGAAGCAAAAGCATGTACATGAACGGAGGCAACTACAGAACGTCCTCAATTTATCAGAAAGTTAACGAGCTGAGTACGGATGACCTGAAAGAATGGAGCTCCGACGATATGAAGATCAAGGAATTCGTTGAAACCCTGCCACACATCAAAGCGAAGCGTGAAATTTCTAGAGGAATGTATGAAACCAACGAAGCTTTAGCGAAGGTAAGGAACTCTGATCCGAATGTCCCATCTGGTTTCTTCGACGTGGAAACACCGAGGACTAAATGATTCTGAATTGATGTCGGGTAAGGAAAAGATAATTGACCCGGTTGTCCTCTCTCTCAGTCGAACATCTCGATGCGCGAGGGCCTGGAACAAACTCGTGATCAACTACTCTCACGCTGTGAAGAATTCAGTCGAGTTCGAGCGGATTTCGAGACGAACCAAGAAACGTTCCGTATGCTCTCGGAGACTTTCACTCCGGAGTCCATCAAAGAGGGCCTTCGCAGAGCCGCTCAGCAAGCCGAAGAGGAGAGCGACTCCTTGGCAGATCAGTTTCTGAACAGTAAGTTCTTTCCGATAAGCTTCTCCCGGAATTCGGGGCTGTTGCATCGCATCTCCAACAAATGTCGGTGAGAAATTCAGGACCTCTCTTGATACACATCTCTTCTCCCAGAGCAACTAGGCGTCGATGATTTTCTGCGGAGCTTTATGGAAACAAGAACCCGGAGCCACGAGCGCTCAGCCAAGTCCGAGGTTCTACAGAAACAACTCGAACAGCTGTATCGATTTTGAGTCACTCGAACTCCCGAGTGGGTCTCAGATGAAATTGGTTGTTGAGTCGATCGACAGTATAGACCAGAAATCCTCGCACCAGAAATCGATAAACCGGATATGCGAGCCGACTCAGCTCAATCTACAAGTGAGCGTCCGCAGAGGCCATACAACGTACGCTCCTCGCCGATACGTGGTAGAAGGTGATGGGTAGTTCTGTGAATAGACTGAGGCTCAGTCTATTCACAGAACTACCCATCACCTGAGGTACTTTTCGTAACTTTTGAAACAATCGTTTGGGTGCACGCAAAAGATACGCCGAGCATGTGGGTGCAACAATCATACGTAGAACAACTTCAACCGAAACGAACCAAATGTAATATGAATGTATACTCGCTGTAATATATGGTCGAAGTTCGTAGTTAGGGAGTCGTCTCGATAAGTTGTGATACTGAATAAAATTCCCGGATGTGTCTCGTATCGTCTGATCTCCTGATTTCAAGAGTGTACTCCGAGGAAAAAGCAGTCTCCTGGAATCGGAATGCGGTGCGACGCCGCAACGTACAGGGCTCGACCAGCGGAGCCCAAAGCTGCACGGAGCGAGGAGGCCGGAGAGTCCCCTGTTGTACATTTTGCTAATAGACGATTCCTGGGGACGTCCTCATCGCGGAGAAATACTAGATCCCGGATCGGCGCGGCATCGACTCCCGACGATCGTGACGTCTCTACAGGCGCATTGGACAGATTTTTCTTCGGAGAGGCGAGGAGCGACACCTCGAGCTCGCCAGGAACTGCAGGAAGAGGCTCTCTGCGAGTGGAAATTCACGAAACTCCGGGAGAAGCGCCCCAAGATTTCAGCCACGGAATTCGTATCACTCATTGCAGTGACCGCCGAATAGATGGCAAGATATGGATGTGACAAGGGGGAATCAATTTTCTCTCATGGAATGGTGCTCGATACCTGTGATCCTCTACACCTTCTCCTTCTTCGCATCTCCGCCGCAGGTACATTTTCCTCCATCTTTGAAATCATGGAAGACCGCGGAAAAGCTCACTCGATTTGAACGACGTCCGTTAGTTTTTATTGAGTTTACAATATAATTGATAAGGCCTGGTTGCTCCCTAGCTTGTCGAATATACATACATCTCGAGGAAAAATATTGAGCTATGTGTACAAAAGGGATATTCTTCCATCTATCCAGCGATTAGCGACATTTGGGGATTGGGTCTGCTGCTGCTCCAGCAGAAATAATTTCAAGGCTCGCATGAGTTTGTCAAATTCTGATTTCCTGTATCAGCTACGGGAGAGCTCCGGAGAAGACCTTCACCACGTCAGGTCTCACATCGCTCTCCTATGATAGTCAGGCGACGCAATAGCGTACTCGCACATACTGCAGTACTGGTCGTTCCGGCAAACAAAACGCAGAAAATCGTGGAGATGTGTGAGCAACAGTTGAACGTTCTTCTCGTCCAGAGGAGTGTAGGCCAAGAAGCGACCGAGCAGCGAGAACATGCGAAGAAGATGGATAGCTCCGTAGATTTCCGACATCTTTTTGTCCTTGTGCTGCTCAAGAATTTGAGCGTACTGGGGACGCTCAAACTTATAAAGCAGGTGTTTGCCCAGCATCGAATTAAAGTAATCGCGGATGCCTGAAAGGAAATCGTGTCGAAATCGTTATCGAATTTCCTTTCCAATTCCCCCTATGATACTCGTGGAGCTCTCTCCAGGACAATATCTCGCAGAATCGGAGTAGCTTACCGCCTGTGAGCTCTGTGACAGCAGTTTCTTTACTGATCGTCGTGCCCTTCACAGAAATCTTCTGCGTCAGATACTCGTTGAGAATTCTCTCCACCGTGTACTCGCAAGGCAGCTTGACGAGTTTCTTCTGACGCCAGATGAGGTCCCAGTCGTCGGCGAGTCTGTTCTTGAGATCATCCGGTATCTTTATCTTCACCTCAATCTTCTGTGTGTAATGCTCCTCGGACTCGACGTGAGGATCAACTTTATTCTTCTTCTTCTTCGGTTCATCCGCCGACGTCCCGGCCTTCTCCTTGCCGGCAGCGGGGAGGCTCTCACGCTTCTTGCCACTGGACATGGGGGGGGAAACCATTAGCCCCCGGCTGAGAATCATCGAATTCGACTGGTGGAGTTTCTCGTCATGAGGTATTCGTACTAGTCAGCTCACCTGGCATTGGTCGTTCTTTCTTTTTCCTTCACGTCTTTCTTGGCGCTCGTCTCATCTTTGGATGACGTCTCCTTCTCTTTCTTGCTCGTATCTTTGACCGCAACGCTGGAGTCTCTCTTATCGGCATCCTTCTTGTTCTTCTTGTTCTCTTTCCGAGCCTTCTGCTGGGCTGCCTGGAGGTCTGCCTGCTTCTGTAGGTTGGCCTCGTTCACTTTCAAAACTCGACTTTCGGGGACCCATTCGTCCCACTTGTTGTTCCAACCCGAGTAGTGGACGAAGTACTTGATCTGCTTATCTTTGCACTGTAGAAAGAGGTTTCGACATTAGGATTGATTCGAGGGAGCCTCGCGGGACGTTCAGGTTCGCGTTGATCTCGTTTCGGGCGCCAACTCCACTCGGCAGTTATCTGAGATGTCGTCAGCTGGCGTCAGCGCCCGCCCAGAGGGACACATTCGGAAATTGAGCACGGCAAGGCTCATATGGATTTTCGGCGAAAAGAATCGCCAGAAAGTTCCCTCCACCGGTCCGCCACATTTCGACGGCGCCTGGGAATCAGTGTCTGACCAGTCAGAATCGGGAGCTCTTATTTCTGATCCTTTCAAGGAGAGAGAGCGCAGCGGGCGGCACAGGTCCGGCTCGCGTAACCCTCTGATAACAGAATTATCAAGCTTCGCCAGCGGCGAGGATGCGACACGTATCTTCGCCCATCTTCCCTCAAGTATTCGGAAAACTTCGATTGTCTCCGCTCAGGCAGAATGAATTTTGACGGTACTCGAGGGGAAGAAATACATGTGTAGGCGAGCGCCGAAATTTCCGCGGTTCGTTGAAACTCGACTGAGGCTCACCTGCGAGCGGATGCATTTAGCTTCGTATAGAAGCGGTCCGTGAAAGCACAAAACCTTCTCATTTTCTTGAAATTTAAATTTGGGTGCCATCTCTGTGTCAAACCTAACACAAAGTACGCGGATTTTGAACTCCCGCTTTTTTTTCTGTTGCTACTCTCACTGTGTTATTGAGGGACGACGCCACAACAACACTTCTTCCCTCAGCAGCAGCAGCGGCAACGGATGATGGTCGTCGATGGATGGTGAGCAGCAGCAGCCGCCACCTCCACCAGACACGCGAGCGATACCATCAACATTCGCCGCCGCCGCCATTGGCTGTCGCCGCATTGCGAATGGATGGATTGTCGCCAATCGTGAGCAGACGACCTCGGAGTGGGGCCGCGCCGAGGAAGTGTGGGAGACGGTATCGCCATTCCAAGGAGAGAGAAGACGTGAGGACCAGCAACCGAAAGACTGGGGAGGAATCGACTATCCGGAAAGTTCGCTCATCGTTCTGGCGATCGGGAGGGCTTTGAAATTGGATGAAAATCTCATCGGGTTTCCCGCGACGAGGCTTCTAATTCATGCTGGCAACGCGGTCACGGATAGACTTTCAGACTCTGATCAACTGATCACATGCATACGGGCCGATTCGCTCGAGTCCATCGAGCGAGACAATCGTCAGGACCGTAGTACGAGAGAAGCGGGACTGATCCGATGAGGAGAGTGCTCTGGATCTCTCGGTTGCCGCGCGTTACATCGAGTGTCCTTTCGGAAGCGTCTGCTACGTCAGGTTCGAAACACGGTTCAGCCAGAAGTCTTTTGTCAACATGAAACCAGCGCAAAACACAAGTTGCATCTCTTGAGAGAAGCGCTCTATCGCCGTCCTCGGTTACAGCGTTCTCAGGAAGCGGTCGTGAGCGGCATCTCTAGATCTCGCTGCAGCTTCCTTCGGGAGCTCCCTCCGGAAACTGCAGCCGGTGCTGACTTTTCAAAGAATCGAGAGTTGTTCGGTCCGAAATGTTGGCGACCGAAAAGCCAGAAGACATTCGATGGCGTTACGCGTCGAAGCTCTCGGAACTGGAGAGACTTGAAGTTGATGTAAGTCGATGAAGCTCGAGCGGGACGCATCAGCGCTAAAGATAGTTCAGGTTGTCAAGTTTGATATTCGATGACAAGATAAGGCGGAATTTTTCGGGATCTGAGCGCCATCCGAGCTCCCCGCTCTTGAACTCGGGAAGAACGACCGGGATCTGGTGCTTGATATTCAATAATCGGATACTTTCTCCCAGAGAGCCGGACGCGATGACACTCCCCTTGAAGCACTAGCCGACATGTACTTCCACCTGATGGCGATATACCTAATCAAAGACGACCTGTGAGTTCGAGATGACCATCAACGGCAACGAGCCCCCTTTTGCATTTCGTGATTAGTCATTGTACTACGAGTGGGAGAACCGACCGACTCTCCGGTCCCCTCGTCGAGCACTGCGAAGAAAGCATCCTCGTTCAAATGCATAAACGTAAAATTCGCTCATGTTTCCCACAGGCCCAACGCCAAGTTCGTCTGGAAACGAGCCCCTGACCCAGTCAAACGGGTGCGTATCGCGTACACATCGTTCAGTTCGATGATAGCTTCCTCCTTATCATCTAGGATGAGAAGTGTTCCATTATTTGTGGAGTCATCGAGAGATCCTTCATATTTGTTGGAGAGACGACTTACCTAGAGATGCTCAGAGCTGCTTTGCTAAACCATGCCTAAGGAGTTTAAGCCATCTCTGACAACATGGAGAAAGTCCTCGCCAGCCGCGCTTCGGCAACGGAAAATTTCGGCTCGGAGCAGGCTTTTAATTCGTCGACACACAATACATTCGGATAGCTTGTTTTATCGCGTCTCAACTCCCTCTTTCGTAGGAACAGAATTATTCACACTCATTTTACCCCATCCAGGCACTGCCCGCGTTCAAACTCCTGCATCAAGTTTTCTTGGCATTATGGGGCAGACAGTTCCCGGCGGTTTATACTGCTCTCCAGGCACCTTGGCCCCCGGCAATGCAGGCCACGATGGACGACCTCCGATCGCTTACGGTTCATCGAGCGACGAGCATACTCGCCAAAACCTATGAAAATGTTGCTGCTGAAGATTTCTGCTCGTTTCTCGGTGTAAATCCCCCCGATGTTGAAAAAGGTGCTACATCCTCCTCGCTTCTTCCTCCTCGCGAGCAGCACGGCTCTAGAATTGGAATGATCCCTCTGCATCGAATATAACAAAGATAATCTGTTCGCAGCCTGTGCCGAATTAGGATGGAGATTCGAAGCTGGATACATTTTCCCAACCGCGAATGTGTCCTCAGAGAGCGAAGCGATACCGTCAGAGCAACAACTGGCGAAATTAACGGACTTTGTCAGTTTTCTGGAATGCTGAGCTGAATTTCTCTCAGGGGAATTGATTATCTATTATTATTTATGTGCATACAGAGAATAAAACCAGGCTATTCCCCAAGGGGGAGCGCTTCATCCGCGGGTGACAGGATATCGAAGATACCGTCAGCATTCTCCGAGGTATTTCGCTCGATCGCTTGCATGAACTCTGTCCAAGATCCCGCCGGTCACCCGAATTGATTCCGTGAAGATCAGCACGAACTACAGCGGGGAAGCGAGAGAAATCGCGAGAATAGATGAGTTTCGCTGCAATTGACGCCCTGAGTCTCATATGTACATATATCCCAAGGTGGATATTCCATTCCGCTCTCCTCTTTCTACGAAGACAACACGCTTTTGGTGATCAGGTGCGGTTCTGTGACTGAGAGGCAGTCACTCACTGAGAATACGCAATGCTAGATGTTCTTCGGATATACAGCGTCCGGGAGGAAACGAAGGCAGCTGGTCTCGATGAGGAGGCTGGGCGAAATAGTCGTTCTATGTACAATGAGTCGTTTTTTTCCAATGGTTCAATGGAAGATGATCGATGGTTATATACATAATCGAAGTTCCGCTAGGATGCTCCTTTCATTTGCACAAAGCTCCTTCTACTGAGGATCGTCGACTTCCGCCTCGAGCGATACCTACATGTTCATATGAGATACTCACTCATATGCGATAGGGGCAGTGAGGGGGCCAGACCTTTCTGTCGTTGGCTAAACCGATCTTGTTCAGTTATCCAATTGAATGAATGATCGTTTTATCAGAGGTTAGTGGTGAGGTGTCTCGATTCTGATGGGGCGGAGATTCGTGGGTAATCAAAAGCGGAGCCCTGGAGCGTTCTCGGTCCTACAGACTCCAGATGGAGTGGCCGGGGTCCTCGGATATGCGTCGACTTCAGCCGCTGAAGCTCCAACGCTCGCGGCTGACCAAAACATCTCATACTTGCCTTCTCTGACCGAGGAAGTCCAAGGGTCGGACGTGACCTGATGATCCAAAGTTCATTGACAGGGTGATTCCAATCATATCTCGTCCAAGCCGTAATACAGCCTACCGTGTGAACGAAGAATTTTGTGAGTGAGGATCAAGAATGAATTGTCTCGATCACGATCTCACTCAATTATTATCGATATTCTATCCGACATCGGGAATCGAAGCTGAGGGATGTGGCGATGTCCCTCATTCGATTGTCCTTTCCGTCATGGAGAAAGTTCCTGGGATGAAGTCCGCTGACATTCGCGCCATCGCATCGGATAATCCGACCGCGCGATGATCCGATGCACAGCTAGTCGGAACAAATATCTCCAGTGATCCAGGTCGAGCTGCATATCTCCGCTGGCTCCGTCGTCCCTACATCCGTCCCGAGACTTGTATGGTGGGATCGCGGGGGCGGGACGGCAAATTCGACCACTTTCCGACTTAGCTGACTTCCTGATTCCCGATATTCTTTCCAAGTGATCTTTAGCTCCTTTTAAGAGAGCTGTCCGTCGAGCCGGTAGTTTCTCGAACAGCATCTCATTGAATGGACACCGGTCAAGCAATGAGTCAACCACAATGTGTGGAATGAGATACTACATTCCGCTCCATCTCCTCTATTTGACAGCCACTGAATCCCTAGAGGGCGATCTTTCCCGGAATCGTCGGACGGTGTCGTCCATCGAGTCAGCCATAAGTTCCACTTTGGACGTCTCGTTAAGCGATTGAGGCGGAATCCTCACTTATATGTTAGTATTGTACAAACACACTTGTGATGCGACGTGTTCACGCACAGATGCTGCGATAATGACGGGCTCCACCCGCACTCGAGACCGCACAGCTCTTCGTGATCAGATTGAAGCAGCGGACAGCAGTGGACTTATGCAGGCAAGGTACTCTGCGTCGGTCTGCTTCTCTTCCGTCCCATCGTGGGGGAGGGGCTTCTCTTATCTTTCCATCATAAGGTTTCTCGGCTATTCCGAGACGAGTAGGTCGAGGCGCTGCTCATCATCCAACCATTCGTTGTACTGTGACTTCTGACCGATCGAGTGTCACCTTCGGTTCCTTCTTGTTGGACAATGAACGCAAACTCCTCTCGAAGAGATTCGCTCAGGAGCTCGACTCTATTCCGTTTTTTCTGGAAGCCCAAACGCGAACATTTGTCGCATTGCCCTGGCTGACCATGAGTCAATCTCGTTACTCCGAGCTGGAACCCGACGCGCGAAGCGTCCCCTGAAGCCAACTCTGCTGCCAGAGAATATTCGCGAAGAATAAACCTAGGACGGATTAAAGGAGCGCTGGGGAATACCGATATGAAGACTCCCGTTCCGAAGGAAGAATAAGCACTTTCCTCTCACGTTGTACTGGCCGGCAAGGACCTGAATAGGACTATTTCCCTCCGGTCTCTCCAGGAAATCCTGCCGAATTTATCAAAGAGCCCTCGGCCGCACGACAACGCAGGATCCCAAACGAAGCAATCGATATCCGTCTCGTGGTCGGAAGTCGGGACTCATTTGCGGACTAGACATCGATTCCGCTGCCCGGAAAATCAGGGAGCGCAGAGCTCATTCCTCGTCAAAGCTCGGATGGGAGGTCGAGTCAGATTCGTTGACGCTTTCGAAAGGTGGATCGAAATGATGCAGAGTCCTCATTTAAGCACGCGAATCTAATCCGCGAAATTCCCCAGTAAGGGAAAACGGTCCAGATCAGGAGACGATGTTCTACACGATGTCTGCTTAGCGGAAGACTCTGGTTGGACGTTCCCCGTGGTTTTCATCGCGCGATGCTCCCACCGCCCTCTAGAAGGCGATATCGATGTGAAAACCAGGAATATCACGAAGAATTTCCGTTCGCTTTCCATCATTCGGGTATTCCGGATTCCGTAGACGGTGTCGAGATCTTCCCGCCAGAATCGCCAAGGCATTCGCTCATGAGCAGATTGAAGTCCCATCGCTCGATAGCGCGACAGATAATCGTATTTGAATTCGATACACGAAATCTTGAACCTATGATTTTCATGTCTGGAAGCGCAAGAGGAACGGAATGATCACAGAATTTCAAGGATCTGTAGAAGCATAAGAATACCATGAAGGAATGAGATAATGAAGAATGGAGTGCATGCCTGAGATGGACCCTCGTGCCACGGTCACGAATGATGATAGCGTCATTTGGATACCAAGGGGAGAGATGTCGCGATCATGAAGAGCGCGAGCGAGAAGATTGATCAAATCTGGAGGGGCGGAGCTGGCGTTTCATTCGGTAGCTCGGAGCTGCTGATCTCCACGTACGCGGACTCTGCTTCAGGTTGATTGCGACCCAGCACTGATTCCGAATGGGATCCTGGCCGAGAACGATTGACCTCGCCTCCGTCGACCGCCTTGTAGAAGAAACACACGGATTTCTTCCCTCGAGAGATTTTCCGGGGGCATATCCGGACTCGGTTCACGCACCGTACTTTTGGTTTTATTCTTTCACTCGGAGTCCCTCTATGAGATGGAGAGAACACCCGCGGGGGCGATATTGGGCAGGAATCATCAGAAATGATTGAGCCCCGTGATATTCAGCTATTTAACGGTGACACTGTTTCGAATGATTACGCAAGAAAACAGGAGGACGACGCTCGCTACTCGGCGGATTGCAATGCCGGAGGACCGCGCTGTTGCTGTTTTGACCATCATGGATCGCTACGAGTATTTTCGTCGGGGAGAATGCATTGTATCTCGAGTGTGCGCCGCGGGATCGACGTTGATCCGAGGCTGAAATCCCCCAGAAACTTTTTCCCCGTCCATTGGAGTCAAGGACGCTCAGTATTCGTGTTCATTTTTTTTTCTTCACTCCGAGTCAACCTCCGATTCCCTTCCTCTCGAAACGTCTCTTTCTTGCTTCGGCGATGTCCCTCTCCGACCCTCGCTGGCATCCTCCGCGTGCTCCGGACGAGTTTCATACAGCGCGCGGATGGGCTCCGGTGCGCTGCTCAATAGTCATGATTCGCTCTAAAGGAGTGTGTGGAGTGCTCATTCTTCTGACGCTTAATTTTGGTGCCTGCTATGGATTCGCCTTTTCGTTCGGACGCCATCCTGGGCCTGGAGAGTGGTCCCAGTTCAATACGGCGTCGATGGATATGCCACACGCAGTGGCGTCGCGCGGATCACCCTTCTCGACGTCGTGCGTTCCGATCCCACACAACATGTCGCTGTGCCACGGCCTGGAATATCAACGGATGAGATTGCCGAACCTTCTGGACCACGACACGATCGATGAAGTTCTCGAGCAGAGTGCTTCGTGGGTCCATCTGAAAAAACTTAGGTGCCATGCCGACACGCAGAAGTTCCTCTGTTCGTTGTTCGCACCCGTCTGTCTGGAAACGCCGATCTATCCGTGTAGGAGCTTATGCGAAGCCGTGCGCACGTCATGCGAAAGTGCCATGCTCAAGTTCGGTTATCCTTGGCCCGAGATGGTGAATTGTGACAAGTTTCCCGAAGGCGATATGTGCGTTACCGCCGGAAGCAAGGACGATGGAGGTAAGCGCGGCATTTTGCCATGAGTCGCGATAAATGAAGGGGAGTAATCTGACCAGTAATGGACGGGACTGATGCCATCGCAAAAACTCGCCGAAACTTATTGGCAATCAGACGGGAACCCACCTGGAGGTTTTGGCAAATTGTTCCGACGACGATTGACCGCTGTCACTCGCATATTGATATTCATCGAAGAGGCACACCTCGCTCAGGAAAGACGAGCGCGAGTCGCATTCGGACCACAGTGCGCGGACCAACAGAGTCGATCAGGCCCAAGTTCATCGATTAATAACCCCGACCACGGGCTAACCCATGAGTTCGAGAAGGACGACTCGGCAGCGTGGTACGAAAGCCAGTCCAATGCTCCTGACAAATGGCACCAAAGATCATCTCTCGGGCACAGAATCCCAAGATGTCAACGAAGTTTCAAGTCAGCTTCATGCGGGATCTCTCAGAGAGGAAAGCTCTCGGATCCGCTCCCTCGAGTGATCTGCTCGGGACGGGAGCAAACGAGAAACTTAGCTGAGTCGCGCACTCCCTTTTCACACATCTGGAGGTCCTCTGGGATCATGGAAAGACTAACGAAGATCACCTCGGCTCCCCTCTGATCGTCTATTCGTCTCATTCCAAGGGAGATTATGCAAAGTTCCTCGAAAAGCCTTATGCCAACCTGCTACGGATCAAATATGCAGAGAGCGCATTTTCCGAATACGCGAAAGCTCTTGAGATGGCACGCCAGGGAGCGCCGGCATAGCGAGACATAAAAACGCGTAATACACCTCGCGTGCTCGACGAGGATCTCACGGAGGCATAGGAAGGAGAAAAAACGTTCGAAACAGGTGATATCTCTCATGAGCTGATAATGGTCGTATTGGCGACGGTGACGATTCGCTTCAGTGGTCCGAGTCTCCTTCCCTCGGAGGATGTTCGCTGAGAAGTCATTGTTCTGGTTTCCCTTCCGGAGTAGTATGCTCAAGCGTTGTTTCTCCCGAAGCGCTGCGGATTATTCGCCGTCGCCGTCTTTGTACGAGAAAGGTCTCGGAATTCCTTGTTCCTGGAGCAGCACAGGCGACCGCAAAGCGTTCGAGCGCGCTTGCGGTGGCATCTCGTAGTGACGCATTACGCCACAGAACGACGGAACCTTGAAGGCCATTAACCCCTTTCGGGATTGTCTTTGGAAGAGCGAGCTCCCTCAACACGTCGAGGGAAGATGTCGAATTATTGTGTCTCGATGCGTCGAATGTCAGCCTCCCCGGGGTGACTTTCGATCGGATCCGCCCCAAGATCCCGTCAATTTCTGATCGGTTTCCCGAGCTGACGTATTTCGGATCGACCGTAGAGGGGTTTTAGACTCCTCAGTTGGACAGCACGCTCGGGGCGCTCAGCGTTTTCCGGTAATTTTCCTGAAATCGACGAAGCCATTCCTCGGGGTTGAGCCACGAAGATTCGGGAAAGAGGGCAGAGATTTGTCAATCGACGATTCCGATGCAGAGCGAGCAGATATCCTCCCTAATTAAGGGACAATAGGGAGTTGAGCAAGCATAGTATTCTGTTCGAAAGGGCAGCCAGTCGATGGAGCTTGAATAGAGCTCTGGGTGATCCAGTCGGCAAGGAGAAGATTGGGAGAAATCCAGAGAGAATTGCAAAGACGAACGAGCGAACTCGAAGCTCTCGAGAAAGAACAGTATCGTCAAGCTGAGAATCGCGACCGGAATTTCGTATGAGCGCAGCCGAACGTGAGGGAGACACAAAGGGCGAATTAAAGAGAAGCCGAAAAATAGAAAATCCAGTGAGAGGAGAGAGGGAGCTCCACTCTTGTGTCCCTCTCCAATCTTTCTTCTCTCCGCAAAAGGGTCAAAGACAAAGGCGGAACGACATAGACGGCACTCAATGAGGAGGAGAGAATATCTGTGATCTTCACATGAGGGAGAGCAGCGGCCGCGGAATACACAGAGCCGTGGGAAAGAAAATCAAGGAATATACTGTAGCGAACGGAGCGATGTACGAGCATAGAGGGAGTGGGAGGACGCGAGGAACCTCGTATGGGAAAGATGCTTCGAAAGGAAATTCTAGACCGTTGACCGAGACTGACTAGGGGAAGAAATGAGGGGGGGGCGATATCGAGAGATAGACTGAGGGGAGGTCAAGATAAAAAGGGAACGGAGAGCGAATGCGGTGGTCAGGGGAGGAAAGCCGGCGCCGTCCAGAATCGATAGCGCCTTACGGCTGCAGCTGTCGGCCAAGCGGCTGCCGTCCTTAGAGGAAAAGAAGGGGGACGACGACGACCGACCGATGGATGCTCGGAGTCACCGAGCTGCCCCTCCAGAAGGGCCCGATCGTGGGGGATACAAAATTGCACTGATCCAAAAAGTCGACGCGGAAAAAGCGCGCAGCTTTTCAATAGATCACTCTTATCTGGTCGTTCGTGTCGCTCATCATCCTTTGCGTCCACCTGCTCCGGTTGCCGCTCTGAGCCTTTCCGAGACTGCTCCCCGATCGGCTTGAAATCAGAGCTCGAGCAGGATATCGCACCAGAATCCTTCTCCGAACCTTTCCCCGGGGCCCGGCGAGATCGGCCACGGAGTATCGCTTAGGATCCTCAAGCTCTGAGCACGCACGCATATCGAATCACATATGACCCCATGTGCATGGTGTCGCGTTGACACGTGCGCAGAGTTCCGCTGCGTTATCCCGGAAGGTATGCTCCTTACCATAGCGTAAAATATGCACTCGAACTCCAACTATGAGCACCTCGGGAAGTCGGCTGCTCAGCGGAGAATTCGCCCCAGCGGGACGACAGCGAGAAGACCACCACCGTGAGACCTCTCAGGCGGGATCAAAGCTGACGTAAAACAGAAGTTCCCGTATCTTGATAGTGCTAGAGCGTGACGACGAGCGTATAATGCGAAGCTCGATTCATTGCCCAGGGATGGGCGCGTTGGCATGATTACGTCCTCCGCGATGCTTTTACGAATCAGAAACTTCCGCCTGATCGAGAGCTGGTCCAGCCAGGAAGCGAATGCTTCCGGGGCACTTCGCAGACTCCCACCGAGCCTTGAGCTCGAGCATTCTGCATAAGTAGGATAAGCGCTGAGCCAAGAAAATTAAGTTGTTCCCGAGTTTCGGATACCCGATCAAGGGACGCGGCGACAGGAGGAAGCTCCGCGTTGCTGAACGGCTTTCTGTTGAGCTCATGATCTCTCGACATCTCGTCTCGAGGGGCCGCGGCCGTTGCATCGCCTGAGGTCCACGTCGCCTGCGCGATCAGCTGGGAGTTCGGTTTCCCCGATGCTGGAGATGCAGCTTCTAATCTCCACATTTCAAGCAACTCACTCCGAGAATATGAGTGACTCGTTCTCAGAGCTTTCAATCATTTCTTTCTCAACCTGTCGCATGCTTGAGCTTGTCGCCGAGGAAGGTGTTCGAGTCTCGAAGGAGGGATTCCAGACTTTTCTCTCCGAGTGCGAATTGGGATCAGGATAGGGAAAGGGAATGAATTCTCGAATACCCTCGAAAAACGCTCATCTGGTCGAGCTCCACGCGATATCTCCATTCGTCATTTTCGCTTTCGATGCGAAACTCTGTTCTGGATTGAGCTTGGTTTGCGCTATCGGGACCGGTTAGTCGAGGTCGAACTTTCAATTAGGACGGACACGAATTCGTATTCGGTAGGATAACCATCGAAGAACTACGGAGCCTATCTGACCAGGCCGTCTGATCGACACGAGACAGACGTAGATAGAAATCAGATGGACACGAACACCGGGTGATCGAGCGAGAGATATCGAACACATTTGAGGGAGCCTCCGAGTCCTGTCGATGTTGATCCGTATCTCGCAGAAATATATGAGCAGGCAGCGCTAGGGGAGGGGAAAGAGAGCCATCCGCGGATTTTCTCGCCCGAGTGCGAGATAAGGGGTGATACAATAGTGGGGCGACCTACCGCGAATGGAAACAGCAACGGCTCGACCCGTGGCTCGATCAGAGCAACCGGCCCTTGTCGGGACCGTTCGCGAGCGTGTCGATTGAACTCTACTGACTTACATGAATGCGGTTCGGAGCGAAATGAAGAATATTCATAATTTCCGAACCTCGAGGCGGAAGTCGTCGACCTTTCAACGCTCTTGTAGCCATCGGATGAGCGGTTCTGAGTTTTCAAGACCAGATCTACGCTCTCGCGAGTTATTCCGGTTGGATGGGAGCGATGCATCAAATGAAAGAAATCAGTTTCTGAATTATTTTCATTTTGCTGCAGGCATCCGACTAGGTCGAGAACGATATTCCGATCTTTTTTCCCTTGGCTTCGACTTCCGAATGCGTCTCCCTTCGTAGCTCGCCCGCAGCTCCGTCCTCCGCTTTTGTTCCCCTTTTCCCACGGTCGGAGTCAGGAATCTCGGGAGGCTCTAGGGATGGGACCGCCGACTGCTATTTATTCATTCGAGAAGAATCCTAGAGGAAAAGATATCTTGCCATCATTCGAGCGCGATTCCTGTTTTGTCGTGTGGCTTCACTGCATTCCGAATTCATCGGAGAGAGCAATATTGGGATATTCAGACTTTGAAACCACGAGAGTTTTCTTGGGGAAGGCTCAAAGATGCGAATCGGTCTTACTCTGTCTCACTCATTGTCAGAGAAGTTTCAATAGGTTCTGATGAAGCTTCCAATTTCCCCGTGACTTGCTTGCCGATTTCCGGACCGTCCGACTCGCGCGATTTCAGGACAACAATCCACTTCGCAGCTCTGACGACCTCTTAAGTCCTCACGATACGACATCGGTGCTCCCCGTTTCCAGACTTCCGACTTTTCGGACTGGCTCCGTCCGTCGGCGTCGTCGGGAAGCACGAGACGTTCGGAGAAGGAAATATATTCGATTGAGGATGTTTCATTCGATCATTTGTCTCCTCTCAAGCTCGGAGTTCGGCGGGCGGACTCGGAAATTGACTCGGGTCGAGGAGTCTGCGAAGACCAGAAATTCGTGTTTAATCAGAATCGAGTCTGAACGAGCGGGGTCGAAGCGAAGTGGAGCTCGGATGACTGTCAGAGACGGTGATTCGCGGTGAACGACTTCGGAGGTCGAGGAAGTCCTCCTGATGGGACGTGTTCGATTTCCGCTCACGCTCGCGAGTACCGCTCGTATCTGCTTGTAACAGAGGAGATTCTTATCGCTGTGCGTACTATATGTTCGGCGGAGTGCGCAAGCGACATTCAGCTGTTCTGTTCGGCGATGACAGATGTCATGTCGCACTCGCTCCACCGCCGAGCGTAGCTAATGACACCAATGAGATCAAAGTCTATTGTGTGTCCTGCGAAGAATGGCTCAGTCAACCAAACAATCGCTCGCTCGACCAGACACTGAGCAGCCAACCGAGCGAGCGAGCGGACAGTTCTTCTCCGTCTGACACTGCTACCCCGGGATGTTAGTAGCGACCCCCGCGGATGGACACGCAAGCGAGCAAGCGTCGAATCGTCCGTCTGTCTAGCGTGTACACGTCTGTCTTCCAAGCCCTCGATCCGAGTTGAGCATTCCTCAGCTCCAGAGTCTATTCAGCGTTTCCTTTCCATACATGCTCACTCGCTCGGCGGCCGGGGCTCCAAAACATGCCTGACCCGGTCTGAACATGTCGGAGTTTTTTTGATGAAGCGGATCAGAAAACCCTGAACGTGGTCAGAAAATCGCTCGTCATTGCTCAAGAGCTTCCGAGATTCTCAAAGGCTGCGCCTGGAACTCGAAATCCCTCGAGATCCGACGACTGATCAAGTCGCTGTGAATGATCGCTCTTCATAGCTGAGTGTGCATATCAATGAGTCGTACACATGAGCTCCGAACAGTTGATGGAAAGCATGACCGATTCCGCCCTGATGGAGAGGGCGAGCGTTCATTTCCAATTGAAACGCTCCGGGGGCTGGGAGGAAGCGCGAGGTCGATTATCCCGACTCCGTCACCCACAAAGGAGCGGATGAGCGGAAGCGATAAGCGCCTATCGAGTCTCACGATAGCACAGGACCGTATGGGACGTATAGGCCTTTCGGATCAATGCCAGGAAACCGGGAGACATCATTCCGACTCTTCCAGGGAATGAGCTTCACAGCTAATCGAGAGGGACTAGGTAGTCTGCCAGTAGTCTCGACCCTCCTGATTGGGCGATAGCTTGCAGGTTTCGCTCTCTCCTGACGACCGAATATCGGCTGGAGAGTCGGTACATACGACCATTGCTCCGGGAATCTGCGGTCGGCCCGCTTATCGTGTCAGTCGGTGGCTGGTCGACAAGCAAAAGGGAGAACAGCATGGCCATCGAGTCGTGATGAGCTCGGCCAGCCGGAAGAAAGGATGTCGTGTATGTATAAACGAGCGCGAGTGTGTGCGTGCAACGGCAAACATACCCAAAGGCTCTTTGAATCGATCCTATGGGACCCCGGCACTTTGCCGCTTTGGCTGCTCAGCGTCTCGTGACCAGCGGTGGAGCCAGCTGCACAAGGCCTTGCAATGTGTGTCTGTGCATGTATGTATATATTTCGCTGATTCTCTTGCTTATAAGTCTATTCGAGCTCGGGGCTCAGACTTCCCCATGTGTCGGGAAGCCTCGGAGCGCGAGAATACCCGAAGTCGAAATAATTTCGAGGGACTTCTGAGGAATGTCTCTCCGACCCGCGACTCATCTGTCCGCACGCAGGCATCCGCGTCGATTTTCACCGATCCGTCGGATCGGTTCTCCCGATATCCCCATCTGGCGAGTCGAGAGCGTTCGATTCCAGCCGGCACGTTCATTTTTTCCTCGGGCTCGCTCGGGCTATGGCTGGCCTTTTCAATTTTCCCGTTTATAGGGCTCGTCTCTTCTATGGCAGGGTCCGTCACTTCCGAGCCCCTCGCTCGTGTAGAGCTCCTTCTCACCCCCCTCCTCCCTATTTCGTTATCCCATGCCAGAACGACACCAATCCATGCTGTTACACCCATTTCGTCCAGCAGTAGCTCTCAGCGAGTCCGAGTCCTCCCGGCAATCCCTCGCGACTCACGATCTTCGCTCGCTGCCGATAGTTCGGTATAAATGCCCTATTAATCAGCCGAGAGCTGTATCGACATCCAGAGGAGGAAGCTCTCTTTCCCGTTCCTCCTTACAAGATTATCAGCCGCCTTCAACGTCGCGACGCAGAAAAGTACAGCGAGACACGTCAACGTCGACGTTATCAGAACAACGGGTCGACGCACACGGATGCGTCAAGTGGACGACGACGTCGTCGTCTTTTGAGCTTTCTGAACGCCATGTTCGTTTCTTGCTCGCGCGAACCCTCTCTCTCTCGCTGGTGGGAGCCGGTGAGGATTCTCTCTCTCATCCTCTGCTATCTACATGTCAAGACGCCAGCCTGTGCGCTTTCCCGTGTCGTCCGAAAGTTGACGTAGCAGCACGGGCGGCCCGCTCAGATAGTTCTACATGGCTGTCGCATAGAAACTCACACACATGAACGGCACCCGATGTCGTCGCGTACGAGAATAACAGACAGAATTTAATTAGTACAAAAATATTAATTTCCGCTCGGCGGAGATGGGGAAAAATTGCACGCGGTGGATCGGCAGGTACATGGGCGCCTGAAACAATGTTCAATGGCCTTGTGAGGGCACATCATAGGGTTCCCTGGATTCCTTTTGGCAGGAAAGCGTCGGTAAAGAATTCCATCGGAAAGCGGCCCGATCGGGGAAAGGCAGAATTCGTGATCGATTCCGCCGATCATCCGCCCCCGCCTCCCTAACGCTGATTTGGGAACAACATGTGGGAATGAGGGCTAGCTTTTCCCACTTATCAGGAGGTCGGAATTCCTTCGCTGACCGACGAAGTCGCGGGTCGAGACATTCATAAGAGCAGCAGGTCTAAACTCTTCCCCATGAGTTCGCGAGATGGAGGACGACTGTTCCCCGCTAGCGGTCTCGGGACGGGGGTATAACCTGCGTTCGGCATAGAGGTCGTAATGTATGCAAATTCGTGAGAGGTTTCAGGATTTTTCTCGCCGCTAAAATGGAGCAGTTCGTTAGCGTATATGTGGGTATTCGAATTCAGGCTCACGGTCCCCGCTCCGCCGCCGTCTGATGGAAACGTGGCGAGTGTCCTGTGGGAAAAAACGAGGGTTCAGCGAGAGACCTCGAAAGTCAGCACGGTCGAAAAGGAACGTCGAGGCGCTCTTCGGGGACCGCGCCGACAAACACAAGTTCCATGCTAGCGTCAGAGGTCCGTGTTGGAACGTGCAGCTCTGTATCAGGGTCAGCGGTCCTCAGGATCAGATATTCCTATTGAGGACACGACATGAGGAGCGGGGAGGGATCGGGCGAGTCAGGAATATTCGGTGGGCTAGAGAAAACATTAAACGCAGGATGAACCCGTCGGAAAACCTGTTCTAAAAAATCCACTTCACCCACTCCACTTTTCTAGAGTGCTGCTGTCGCTGATGGCTCGCTGCCGCGACTTAGGCACCGCCAGCGGTGGCTTCCCTGTACATATTGATAAATCGATCGTTTTCGGACTATTCGGTCCAGGGACGGCTTTCTTTTCAATGTTTTCATTACGGCCCCTTACGCTCACCGCTCAGCGAGTTTTCTTTCGATACGCCTCCTTTCTGGCCGCTGATCATATTAAATGCAAATAAGATTCTATCCAACGCCCCGTCCTCTCTTTGCATAACGGGGCTGTTGACTTTCGGATGGCCGACGCACGACAAAATTAGTCCTTTCCAAGAACTTTCTATATCCACGATCAGATCACCACGCCTCCCCCTTGCCCTATAGCTCCCGAATCCTCCGTCCTCGCCATTGATGGATTGGTGAATCTCCTGCATGGTGAAAGTATCGGAACTTGTTCGCTTTGAGTCTAATCCTAACATTCTCTGTTTTCAGAGTCGGCAGTCTGCAGGGCGTGCTCACAGCCCGCAAACTCCGAAAGTTTGCTGGACAACTATTGCCGTGCAGACTTCGGTGAGTATCGTTGGTCAGAAATCGCTTCAGGGGTCCTGAATGTTTTCATTCGTGTGGACGTGGTTTTGGCGAGTTGACCGGGTTCATGATTGGCGGCACTTTATCATTTACGACTTCCAGAGAGGATACTCCGCGGAATAGATGACCTGAAAAGTTAGTCCATAGCCCCCCAATCCCACTCTATTCTGGAGTTTGCCTGAACAGGGACCAAAGCAGCGCTGGGGGAATCGTCTATCGGGAAGAAAGCTTAGACGATTGAGGCTAGCCCTGCGTCTGCCCACCCTGAATCGCGTTATCTGATATCCGTTGATTTCCCACGAGTACTCCACTCATGGCATGCAACCCTCCAGAAGACTGGAATCGATAGGGAGTCTCCTGCAGTTGATATAATCAGTCAGATTGAACGAAGCGATATCGCATCCTTGTCACAGTGGAACTCATCTGTGCCCTTCTCTCCGAGCGACTCATTCGAGTCCGCGGGGCCCAAAACGATTCAAAGACATGCGTGGTATATGACAAAGGGGGAGTAGCGGCGAACGGAATAGGAGACGGACAGAGATTAGGACAGACTCGAGTCGAATGCGATTGGGAGGGGGCGGGAAAACATCGAGACACACGAGGAGAACAGGCCAAATCAGGGGGAGGGGAGAATGAGTTTAGCAGGACGGCTAATTGAATGATACAAGTTGTTGACAGACAGCTGTTCCTGACGGATACTTATCCTCCCTTTCACAGTGATCCGTGCGCGCGCCCGGCGGGCGAAGGACGGTACTGTTCTCCGGACAAAAATGAGCCGTATCTTCAAAGTGACAGAGACGATCATTTCGAAGAAAGATCTCAGAAGTCCCGAGTTTAGGAATGCGAACATGACGCAATGCTGCTCCGGACTCGACCGGAAAATCGCCAAGAAAAATCCACATCTCCTCTTAATGGGTGAGTTTACCAGACGAACAGGCAGAGTCTTAGTAGAGGTCTCCTCGTAAGTCTGCCGATATGCTTGAGGGATCCGCTCTGTAGACCTTTCTTCAAGGTTCGTTATCAGCGCGGGTTGTCCATTTTCTGCTGACCTCGGTGGGCCACGCCACGAGATGTCGTTTCGGCTTGTGATTCCCCCTTTCCCTCTCTCCCATCTTCGGAAGCCGGATCTCGGTCAGCTATCCATCCTGGTCCTCGCCCGAAGTTCGAATGGCCACGAATATCATTTTCGGTTTCCGGAGCCTCCTGCACCAAAGGATAGGGCAGGCCTGAGGAACGGCAGTCGCTTCCGAAGCCTTCAGCCCTCAGAGCTATCTCGACGGGCGAATTCGCCCATTTCCAAGCTTCCCAAACTTGATGCATCAGGGAAGTTGCTGCGTCGACTCGGGTAGCGCGAGATGGAAGAGAAGTCGCCTTTCAGGTCGATTATTATCGGAGTTGTCCTGGATTCTCCCAACCACCTCAGCTCGGACCTCGGACGCAGCATGACTCCGCAGTTTTTCAAACTCTTTACGTCAAGCGGAGAGACGATTTCGGTTTCATTCTGTATGCCGGCGGATATAATGAAAATCTTGGTCGACCTTCGTGTGTGCTGTGGGGACGAGGAGTATCATGCTGTCTTGAAGCTCGAGCTCTCTCAAGCGGGAAAATATCCAGCACGGACGGTGATACCTGACGGAGGAGAATGACATGGAGGTCGGAAATTAGCGAGTCGGATATCGGGAGAACATGAGGAGTCAGGTGGCTCCTCGTAAATCATGACATCGGCCAGGAGGGGTCGCGAGTCGCGACGTCTAGCACATCGACTCAAAGTCGCTGTCGCCCGGATCGATCTCTTCGGGCGGCGATTTGCTCGGCAAGTCACCATGTGTACATACGATCCAAGAATTGGCGAGAATACTTCCCTTCTCTACGCATCACATTCTGACGCTGAAATCGAGAGATTCTCAGTTTTACACGACCCGATTATTGAGAATAATCATTCATTTTTGCCGTCTCCTGTTCATTCGATCATTGAAATCGAGCGCGAGACTCAATTCGTTTTAGAATCTTCAAGCATACCCGCACTCGGATATATGCAGAGAATTCATTCTGCGAGATTTTGACCTTCTCAGACCCAACTTGAAAGATTGAATCTGAGAACACGATAGCCAACGAAGCGAGTCTCAGCCGATAGATTGGGGATAGGACTGACTAGGCGGGAGGTTATCCTTGTTTCTCTCGAATTCAGGAACGCGCGACGGCGACGGAAACTTAGTTCCAACATTCATCATGGAGTGGAAGCGAGGTTCCGACGCATTCAAGAAAGCGATCAAGAAAATGCAGAAGATAAACTGCGCTCATCCAGCCGTTGTCGGAAACAACCCGATCGACCCAGTGACCGGCAGGAAAACCGAGTCCGCTCGGAGGGATCGACAGCCCGACTCGAACGGCGGTAGCCAGGAGAGCGACGACGAGGACTCGATGGAAGTTAAAAAAGAGCAGCCGAAGATACAGTTCGATCTGTCGGAAAACTTCAGACGCGAGATGGAACTGCATAACATCGCTGCGCAGCAAGAGAAGGCTCGGGAGGAGGAATTGGCCCGCAGGGAGAAACGTCGCAAGGATCGCCGTCGTAAACTCGAACGCAGAAAGCCAGAAACCCCCAGAACCGACGAGGACGCCGAAGGTTAGCTCATTCCCATCGTGTCTCCGGTCGATATCCGATCGTTCTGAGCAGGAATCGATCATATAACATTCCTTTCATTCGTTTCAGTAGAAGTGAGCTCCGAGCCGAAAACAAGAACTCTGCCCCCGAAGAGAAAACCGACATCCACAACAACCGAAGACGCGGCGGAGGACGTCCGCGAGGCCGCGACTGAAGCATCGCACCCAAGAGGAGGTCAGCCCTTCCATGACCTGACCTATCATAAAACAGGAAACGGTGAACTGGAGATGGTAGTGGAGCCCCCTGCGGAAAACACCGACGAGATAAAGATCGAGAAGAAGATCGACCTCCCTCTCGAGCATCACGGCTCGCATCGCTCGGAGGGGCATCGTGAGTCTCCACGACACCACGACGCGCATCTCCCGGGCCTGAAGTCGCACGGCGATGCTCATCCGAGTGACCACCATCAACAGAAACATCACATCGAAGCTCACGAGGATCACGCAGTCGCACGGCACGATCATCCAACTAACCACAAGGAGCATCACTCGACAGCTCAGGAAGGAGGTCCGACCACACATCAAGAGCATCCGAACAAAGAAGTTCCGCTGCACCGTGAAGACGACCCATCGGCGAAGGTTCATCACCACCACCATCATCACCATCACATCGAGGAAACGGCCGAGATTGCGACGACCACAGAATCCGCGGCGACTGAAATTCCCATGCGACCGGGCGATGGAGAAGATGCCACCGCGGACGACTCCATCGCCATTCCCAGTAAAGACGAAATTCTCAAACTCGCCGGAGAGGATCCTTCACATCATAAAGCCCACCACACCCACCACCAACGGCAGCAACACGCCACCGTGAGGGTTATCGAGGATGACGACCTGGTCACCACGGAGGACGTGAGAAAACCTCACGAGATCCGACATGAAGAACATTCCAAAACTCACAGGGAGTACCATCATGAAGTCAAAGCTCCTGCTTCCGCGACACCCGAGGAGGAAATGTCGACGATGCCCCCAGTAAAAGAGGAATTCATCACGGTGCTGCCTGTCATTCCGGATGAAATGAAGGGCGAAGCTGAGGGCGACGCGACGGAAACTGATGACTTGACAACGAGCACTACCGAAGCCGTCAGAACTCTCCCAACAACGCTGACGACGACAACGACCACCACGACGACGATTGAGACAGCATCAGGTGAGCTGCCACGCCCAATGAGGCCCCTTGCGCATGTGAGAGCCGAATCCCTGGAAATCCCTCGTCGGTGAACAAAAACTCCGACAATGAGCCGTCAGTGGAAATTCTCCTCTTTCTACCTCCGCCGAACCCTAATTCGATAGGAACGATTCTCTCCCATTCTCGGCAAATAGCCTGATAATTCCCCTCGTGGCATCCAATGAGTCCTCTGAAATTATCCCAAGATCTGGGAATGATACATTCTTTCCCCCCTGAAGATGCGCCGGATGGACATCTGCATTGCGAGGTTCCCACCTCCTCGCATCGTTCGAAATTTTCGTTTTTCGTTCTCTCTCGCGAAAATCACCAAGGAGATGCTTCTTTGTTTTGCAGAGCCCCCGACCTCGGTACCGCGTCGTGGACGCAAGAGGAAGAATGGTCGCAGGAGACATCACAAGAAAAAGAAGAAGGAATACGACGTTGAAGGTGTACCCCAAGACGAATGAACATCCGCACCTTCTGCCGGGCAGCAGCGTCTCCGATGAAACGAGCAAGGAAAAAGGGCTGATGTGTTGTAACGTGTTGTAAATAAGTATTGCCGTACTCGTCATTGGGTCGTGTACAGTTATGCGGCGAGCGGGAATCCCGAATGAATTGTTGTTGCCAAAGTGAAGGGCTCGCTCTTCGTGCCGAAATGGCGTCTCGGTCTTTGGATTCGCCGCTGGTCGCACCTCCAAAACTTTATTCCAATGAACTCTCAGACATCAATTCGAAAGTTGCATATCACAGCGCGTTCGTCCGAGGCATCCTCGAGCTTCCGCGATAACATCCGACGGAGAACGCTTGAATTTACACTTCAACGGCGCTGAGCACACAAAGCTGTCTGAATGGAGCAGAACGAAGACGAGATGTAAAATTAAATGAAATACAGCTGGGCGGTAGTCGTCCAGTGAATTCCGGACGGTCGTGGCCTATCTGAATAGACCGAAATCTTACACTTATGGCGGACTCGGATTAAAAGGTGTTGGCGTTGGATAAGTCGACGACAAATATGCGGAGGATGCAGATGATTAATAAAAATCGTTCACTTAAGTCACCGGTCTCTTCTGTTCGCTTTCGTTCCCTCTATAGAACTCCTCAGTGACGGGTAGACGATGCGGCAAACGACGCGGGATGATGATTCTCCCGAAGTCGATAATGCGGGAAGTTTTCTAGGAACCTTCTGCGAATGCGGGTTTCCGCCGCCGCCGCCGCTGCTCAGAACCACGGGACCCGCATCGCGGAATCACACACAGTGTTGCTCGGTCGGCTCCTCAGCCCGGGGAGCTCAATCAATGGAAGTGAGACCTTTATTCGTCCGGCTGGTAGTTGACGCGATCGATGGCCTCGTCGGTTCTGCCGACCGGCTATGTTTCTCGACGATCGCGGCCGGTGATGCGACCGGAGGATATCGTCGTCGGAACGCTCCTCATTTCCCTCAGTCTGCAACCCCACCAATCAAGATAATCCAGAGTCGGAGGGATAACTCCACCGATTCTCATTCCTCAAGCTTCTGATTCATTAATTCCCATCGATGGGTCCGACGTCGAAATCCGGGCAAGCGAACGAGACGTAAGAAAAAGTTCCAAGCCGTATATACATATGTGTATGAGCTTCCGTGACCGTGATCTGAGATCCATTCCGTAGAGGAGATCGCCTCTAGGATCATGATGGACGGCCGTAGTCGGACCGAGAGACTCCGTGCAGTAATTCATGGCATTCTTGGCGCTCTCCGATCATCTGGGGAAGAGGAAAACACGGCCGCGGCAGGAATGGTCGATTGAGCTGGATCGGGATCCGTCGATGTCTCCCGAAGTCCGCAAAGGCTTCCAGACAAACAAGCGGGATTTATTTGCATCAAACAGAAGTGTTCGAAGAGTACACAAAGACGCTCCTTCTCGCCAGGGTGCAGGGGGTTTCTTCGGAAAGTATTCCCGTCTGCGCTCGTCACGAAAATACGATTCGCCTGAGGGAGCCCCGCTAGGTTCGGCATTGGAGCTCATATTCGGTGATAAACTGGAAACCGCCCCCGCGTGGACTAGCTTCCGACTGATATGTAGATATGTAAAGGAAGATGCTCAGCTCCGAGATTCTCGACATTCCCACAGGCTCACGCAGAGAGGAGCGGCAAATTTTTGGAGGGTATTTTTTTTTTTGAAGGTAAAGGATCGCGCCTGCGAATTCGAAATTCACCAGAGTTAAGATTTCCGGAGAGAGCTCATCCTTCCTGCTGCTCATCGAGGAAGTCCGCTCTCGAAGACCGATACCGCCCGTTCTCCTCCACGTCCTGCATCGACTGAAACCTTGTTGTCGTCAGCAATAATTAGAGAACGAATCGTAATCCAATCGCGTGGCCGGGCAGATTAGGTGTAGATCCGGCTACGGATCAGCTCAGCATTGGGATCAATGATTTTTCGATTCATCTCCGTCATATCTTCGATATCTCAGATGGGAGTCCCGAGAGCGTGATTGAGCGTGGCTGGAGGAATAAACCGGGGTCACTAGCAGAGAAGTGAACTCGGGAGCTCAAACTGTCCTTCCGTCAAAGTCGAGACCGAACTGATTCCGGAACGGGCTAGACAAAGCGGCGAACGACGAGACTTGGTCGGAATCGATGAGATCCAAATCAAGCTTGGAGTTCTACAGAGAATGGAAGGAGGGAGGCATGACTGCACGCGGCTTGTACACAAACGGCCGGGGCAGCGCACTGTTGGCATTGGCCCGTGCGGGAATGCTACCTACGCGAGCCCACCCCACGAAATACGAATCCATTGACCCGCATTGTACAAGATGCGGCGGTCAAATAGAAACCATACCACACATAATACTGAAATGTGGCTCGCATCATCACGAGACGGAAGCGCTCGTCAGGAGACTGGGCTTCACTGGAGTGGGTGATGGGGGGGAATGGGGGGACACGAAGAAAATGCTCGAGAAGGATGCTCGGGAGGATGAGACCCGAAGGATCCGCTGAGGAAACTCGCCCCTGGACCAGGGTCGCTCATGTAGACAATGAAAACGTGTAGACATTAGCGAGGATCAATAATTATTATAACCATAACCATCACGATCGGGCATCCACCCGGCTTCACAATGAGATTCCGAGGGCGGGTTGGGGGAGCCGAACCATATCGGTCGAAATTACACGAGGTCGTTCGACAACGTCGGAACGAATCTTATGAAATTATACTTCCTCGAATGACTCGATAATGGAATGCCCGTGATTCGCCCGGAGGCATCGCGGAGAGAGCCTCAGAGATCGTCACAGGAGAAAACTGAAGCAGATCTCTTACGATCACGCAGTTGATCCGCACTGCAACAACAGCGGACTATGGTATCAATCCGTCCTCTTTCTTCTTGAGAGACTCTCGGCGCGTTAAATGATTCAGCCCATCCAGTTCAACATCGATGAAGTTATCATTATTATCATTCTCCTCATCACATTCGAGTGTCGAGTCGAATTTCGTTTGAACTCACAGCTCTCAATCTGCCATCCAATGACTTCGCTCACTCATGCTAAGATTTCGCGAGATACGAGGTGTCATATGCCGACGGGGCAACCACGAAAGGCGCGATGCGATTTTTTCCACCTGACAGCTCCTTCCAAGGAAGTCGACGCGCCCGACGCATCAGCGTAGAAGGAAGCTCATGCGTCTAATTGAAATAGATGAGAAAGACGAAAAGAGAACATATTCATCTCCGTTTGTTCATCTGCACTCGCTAGTCTCAGGTGTCAGGGTTTCCGTGATCTTGGCGATTCTTTTCCAGGGAGACCGCGAAATCCACTTGCCTCCAATCATGTTAAAGTGGCTCACTGGCTTCCTTTGCAGTCAAGTAAATATGATCCGAGCTCCGACGGAGCGTGGCCGAGGCACTTGTACGTGTGTCTGACCAATGGATCGTTCCCCGTTCTCTCGCTCAATGCAGTCTACCGCATGGCGATCTATCCGACTATCCGAACCCCGTCTATCTTCGTTGTTTTGACGTATGGTTTCTCCGGTGTCATGATGCGACGACGGCGTGAGTTCTCATTCCTTAATAGAGACATCCAGTTATATTTTGCTCTCCCGTCGCGTGCCTTCGCTTGGTCATTGGAGCTCGATTATTGTCCGTCTCGGGTGGCGGCACTTGAGCGGCACAATGTCTTCCCTCTGTTCTCTCCTTGAGAGTCCGCTCTATTCGAGACACGTGCAATTGATCAATGGAGCAAATCGAGCGATTGATTGGAAAACCCACTCGTTTGAAGAATGATCCACCCGCGGCGAGAGAAATAATAATCCTACGGGTGTCGTTTTGTTTGTGAGTTTCTCCGACATGAGATGCGATCACCCATCAATTCTTCGAGCTAGCGTGCATTCTTTGGAATGGCCCGTGCTTGCGGGTGAGAAGTGGGCGAGAGGCCGCATAGTCGCTCCGCAAATGTTTCGGGCCGTCAACCGGGCAATTTCGAGGTCTATCCAATCAGAGCCAAGACTCGTTGCTCCAGAACTCTTTTTCCGGGCCGGGGATGGGATTGGCTAACTTATCGAGGATCTGAGCCAGCGCCGGAATGAGCTGATAGAGAGCAAATCCCGAATTCTATTCGGTGTGATTCTCAGACTGGATCCGAGGCACCGACGTTCGACGGCTTCCAGGGCAAGCACTGTCCCCAAATCGACTCGAGAGAAGCGACCGAGACGATCGGCGTCCATATTGTCGAATGGGATTTTCACGCCGTCCAGCGACATCTCGACTTCAATCAGACCGATCATTAAAGGCTCTGCCTGGCAATTTACGCACAGTACGACGTGCCGTATTTCATTAGGCTCTCAGTCTGTCCTTTAGGCTTGAAATCAATCGAATTTCAAATTTAGGAGCGCACTTTTGGGTAGGCTTCGAGTCCTTATTCTCCGCAAGCTTCGCGTTCTGAGACTCCTCTACAATCATCGCCTCAGTGGCAGATCACCTCGTATGCTTTAGACGCTGACATCTCGACATAGCCTCTATTCCCCGAGGCTGAGGGAACACTCTATTCCCGCGCACCGTCCCGGGAATGGTGTTTTGAGCGTCTGCTCCAGCGGGACAAAGCAATAAAAAATATTCCGCATGAAATGCGCATGAAAAACAGATTCCATTCCACTCCAACACGCCCCTCATAGGTGGTCAAGAAGAAATGTGTCTTTCTCAAAAGTAAGGGTGGATTCCAGAGTCGGATCTACACACCGTGTACGACTTACACTCTAGACGGGTCAAACTATCGGAAAAACACGGTATCAGAACAGTGCCGTGCTCTGGGGGGGGGGGGG